CTCTTGAACAACTCTGCTGTTTTTGTTTTTACGTCTTCAACAGAATGAAAATGTGTTTGTTCTCTTCAATACACTTTTTACTTTTGGGGAGAGATAAAAGTCAGAGAGAGCCAGATCTGGGGAATACGGGAGATGTTTGAGCACATAAATGCTCTTGTCCACTAAAAACTGTATCGCAAATAGAACACTGTGGCCTCACGCTTGTCCTGGTGCAGAATCCATGCGTCATGCTTCAACAAACCCGATCTTTTCTTTCTTACTCTTTCCCTAAAATTGATTACGACTTGTTTATAGTATTTCTGATAAAACGGTTTGACCTTCAGGCAGTCATTCAGTTATGATAATCCCCTGATATCGGGGGGGGGAGATCAGTGTTGCCTTCAGTTTTGATTTACTCATTCGTGCTCTTTTTCATTCTTGGCGATGATTATTGAATAGTCTGGAATACATTTCGAGAATGTAATATTGTTGTTGAAATACATGTATATTCTATCTTTTAAAACTTTCTTCGACTATGTGATAAAAATTGCATTTACATGATCATTACTACATTTATATAAAGAACATGTTTTCAAACAGATATAACCATTAATATGCATAATTGTTCAAATTAAAAAAGAGGAGTATGAAAGTTAATAACGTTGGAGTTATACAAGATTATATATCATAATATAAAATACTAAGATGAAAAAAGTACGTATATTTACTTAATCACATCAATAACTAAACTTAAACGATTAAATCATTTACAATTTGTTCTATGTGTATTTTTTACTTTCTAGACGCAAATGCCGTATTTTCCCTTAGGCGATTTTCATCCAGCAAAACTTTTCTCCTCATATTGGGCTGAAGAGGAAATTTTTGAAAAGAACATTTTGACACATGGAGGTAGGAAGTAAATTCCTTACCTCCATATTTTGATGTTCATTTTCCTCTTGGCGTCAAAAAAATTCCTCCCGAGGATTTGGCAATATTTTGCTATTTAAGATGGCAAAAAAATTGTGCAAGTGCCACTTATCTGAGTTTTCCCTCTAAATCAAATATTATCGACCTGTATTATATTTAAAGAAATTAAATAATGAAGAATCTGCATAAATGTATGTATGTTTCTCACATTGTGATAAAACAACGGTACCTATAGCCATCAAATTTTGAGTAACGTAATCTCCCACCGAATATGGGCATCTGGAAGCCCTAATTTGGAATTTGAAATTTGTTCTTTTTATTATTTATTTTTGAATTTAGAATAAGGTTCAAATTTTGAACAGTTTATGTAAAATTATGTAGAGAATAAAATATGCAATGAGGTAAAAATAAAGAAATAATTTTTACAAGAGATGCATATATAAGGTGTCCCATAAATTTTGCAATAAACACCTGGGGAAGATAGACACATCATAATGATATTCCCAGAAAAAAAACCCTTTTTAAAGACAAAAAAAAAAAAAAAAAAAAAAAAAAAAACTGAAATGTTCCACCAAGGCTAGTTGCGGCAACATTATCAACCAGAAAACTTATTTCACACTGTGGGCTTCAGATTTCACGAACAACCGATACCACTTAGCGATTTTTTAGACAGAAACCAAGGGAGACCATACAGTAAATTTCAACCATTGCTTTATAAATATACAATTTTCCCGCGTTAATGGGAATTTGAAATTTATACCAATCTATATGGTTTGAGAGAATTGAGGATGCTGTAAACAATGTTGATGATTTTATTCCTGTGGACCATTATGGTATCTTTGAAAAAAACTCATTGTTATGTGATTCCGATGCTATATTGAAAAATTTAAAGTGTTTTTGGCTATGGACGTGATAAGAATTCGGTCAGTGGCTGTTCGTTCACATCGCAGGCAAAAGAGCTGAACAGGAACGAACTCGGTTTTACGTCCTTTGCGTAATGAGAATTTACACCGGCAGAAAAAAAATAGTAACTACATCACAAGCGTACTCGTGTGGACGGGTCTTAAAAGTTTATCTTGCTTTTTGCTATTCAGATAATATTTAAAAAAACGATAAATCTTTAGACATTGCTGAGTGAGTTATTTCTGAAGCAGGCATCGGATATAAATTGAGCCCTGGAACTCAAAAATATATGATCTTAGTCTCAACTATGTTTCAGTGTAGAATGTTGTGGTTTGAGATGTACATCAAATGAAAAAGCGGCTATCAAGTTAAATTCTTGACCATATAGATTCATGCTAATTAATGACTGTTTCTTCAATGTTGAGGTAGTTTATGTATTGCAAAATTAAAATAGAGAATTGAAACTCTTTCTGTGAAAGCTTATCAAATGCACATACATAAAGTATACCCTCAAAAAATTCCATTGCTGATGCTCTGGATTTCAGATCATTGTGGATATTGGTCATTCAGGTTTCAAACTTTGTACTGTAATATTAAAGTGATATGTTTAAGTCTTATAACTCTGTATGTATTCAAATATGCATGCAGTATGGATATGGGATGAGTGGCCGTTGCCACATGGTCACTCAAAAATATACCGGAAACATGAAAGTGTTACTAAATATGATAAACAAAGGTGCAAATAATCAGAAAATAGTGATTTTTAAAACTGTGTGTATTGAAACTTTTCCAGATAAAGTGGAAGAATTCAAGATATTTTCAAATTGTCCATGATTAAATTATTTCTATATTAAGAGGCTGTATATAGTTTATCTGCATAATTTGGTCAGAAAAGCAACTATTAGACCTGGGAAATTGGCTACTTGCATATTATCCCGTTGGCCACAAAACTGTCGCCAGCGTCACAATTTAGTGCCAATTATGGATAAGCTTATGTCTCAGTGCATTTTATCTCCTTTTTTATTTGACGTATCCCTGAAATTACATGTTATTACTATATATTTGCCTTGCATTTTTGAAAAAGTAATTAAAGTTTGGTTAATTAAATTATAGTTTAAAATAACTTTAATTGTATCATGGATAATTACTAATTCTTAAACTCGGTCCTTTTATTCTGTTTGGTACTTTTTTTCATTTAGTTGTAACGGAAGAAGGTGATAGTGTTGAATCACTGAAACCATTGGATCATCTGGAACATTCTATGGTTTTTCAAATTAAGGCTTGATTTCTTCTAGTTATTTTGTTACTCTTGGTACGGAGTTACATTGATCAAAGCAGAATTGAAATATGATCTTTTCTGCTCATGTTGCATAATTCTAGCATAATTTTTCTTTCAGTACATCGCCAAGAATGGAGAACCTAAAAGTTCATTTTCATTATGTTATGCATTTTATTTAAAAAATTAAAAATGCTAGTCAAATGCTTGTAAGATTTATGTTACGTATGGAGAAAGGGTTCTTTTTGATGACACACATTCGAAGATGATGCCTACTCTTAACAACCATTCTCTGTAAACAAGGACCTGTTACAAGATGCCACTGAAAATTTCAGTTATACAATTCATGAAATGTCTAAAACAAAATAAATATTCCAAATCTACACCACATGATCATTTGAAGAAGCATGGGCACCCCATAATTTAAGAGAGCAGATTATAACTTGCTTGAGTTTTGGGCTTTGAATTTTTTGCTGAAAAGGTGTAAAAAAGCTGTCTCACTTTTTATTGAGTTCTGTTAAGTTCTTCTTTTAGTAATACCAACAGACGGGTGGTATTACAAATACTATGAATTGTTGCTACCAAATCAGACAGTAGATTCGAAAAAAGTTTTCAGATGGCAGTTTAAAAGCAGAAATTGAAGTAAAGCAGTCAGAACTGACTAGTCTTCGAGGTGTTGTCTTCGATCATGAAAATGCTCAGCCGCACAATTCCATGAATATAGACAAAATCTTACTGGGTATGGCTGAGCTGCTTTGTTTCATGCCCTACGTTCATTGGACTTTCCTCTCTCAGATTTTCATTTCTTTCTTTAGTTCACTTCAGAGTTCTCTGAATGGCCTACTGTCAATCAGCGTAACTTTGCAAATAAATTTATTGAATCTTTATAAAAAGAAATTGTCCAAAAGATGGCCAAAAAGTCATAAGATAAAATGATGCTTATGCGATTCAATACGAATTTCTTATGTTTTCATACTGCTTCATGTGTATTTATCACTAAAATAAATAAATAAAATTCAGATAGCCCTATTGGGCTATTAATTTATTATTAAGATGAATAGCTGAATTTTATTATTATTAAGATGAATTACTGAATCTTACTATTATTAAGATGAAAAACTGAATTTTTGTATAAGAGCTGGATTGCCATGTTTTAAAAAACTTAATATGGAGTAAAAATAAATTTTACTAGTTTTTCTAAGTTGTAATATTTTAAATGTATTTTTAATATGCAGAACTCCTTCCCTTCCACAAAGGGCTAGGAAATCTAAATCTAAGGTTATATTTAAATTTCTGTTTTATATATTTATTTTTTTATTCCTTCTAGGTACAGGATGATACTTTTTCAGCAATTTTCAAGTGGTGTCAAGACTATTAATTCTGCATTTTATAATTTCACTTTGTGTATCAGAACAAAATATTTTTAGTTTGTATAAACCACAATTTGTATTTTTACAAAATGTCTAATGCTTTATTGTGCCTGTCGGAAACTATGCCATTTTATGCTCAAGACATTCATAAAGACAATTTTAACTATGAAAATACAGCAACTGTTAGCTGTACAAATATTAAGTGTATAAATTCTCTTAATACAGAAAATATGCAAATTAGTGAGAAGTCTTCACAAGATGAAAATAAATATGCTAACTATACTTTCAAGTCAGGTGAACAGAAAACTCATAAATGCCCACGCAAGCGTGAGGCCACTAATATTTTAATGGAGTGTGTAAAAAGAAGAGACAATTTACGAAATATTGATTTTATTTCTAATGTGCCTTCCTTTGTGTCATGCAATCACAAGTGTGATTTAAATGAGTCTTCAGAATCTCTGCAGGATGCTACAGGTGAATCATTTCTTAGTAAAAAGGATTCTGATCTTAGCCAAAATTTCATCTATACCATTGTCTCATCATCAAGCATGGATTTATCTGATTCTTCTATCACAGATTCTGGGATTGAAATCTCATCTAAAAGCAGTTCACCTACTCATAGCATTGACAACATACCTGGGTAAGAAGACAGTTTGAATCTGTTTTGAATATGCATGTAATTTTAAACTTTAGTCTTGTTGCAATTTTTTCAGTTTGCGCCAAGACTAGTTCTTGTCGAATTTCTTAATATATGGAAACCTATTTTCCTTTACCTTTTTGCATTGTGCATGAGCGGCAAAAAAGTGACATCATTCTAACTTCCAAATAATTTTCTTATATTATATTTTTAATTATAATTCTTATTATTTTAAATAATTTTTTATTTTCTGAATTTTTTTTAATTGTTTAAATTTTATGGTTTCTTTCAAATAACTGTTTTAAAAATTCTGTGTGTACTTATTCAAAACTGCGTAGTTTAAATAAAAAGTGCATCGTTTATTTTTTTCAAATAGTTTTTCTTTATAGTATATTTTTTAGTCATAGTTATTATTTAAGCTAATTTTTAAATTTAAAAAATAACAGAAGTTTAAATTTTTCTGTATGTAATATTATAAGGAGATGTGTTGTAAAGAAAGGGTTATATACGAAAAAAAAAAAATAAATAAATAAAAGTCCTAGCTATAGGTTAAATGCTGGGTATTTTATGTATATATATGCAACTGCTAAAAGTGAACATTTAATCAGCAAGGAAATGTTCTTTTAATGCTTTGACTTACTATTAATAGATAATCTCAGTAATTTCTTTCACAGTGGTATTATTTCAAACATTTTTTTCCTCTTTTAATAGCACAATTTGTGTGGATGATGATAATTGTAAAGAGTATATGGACATTGGTGAGAAAAATTTTCTTAATTTTATATCTTTATACAAAAAATAGTGTATAAAGAAATATTAAACATTTCCTGTCATTTTAGATGCAACAGAATTAATAAAACCTGATGGAGATCATAACGACCATTCTGTCCATCAACACCATAGGATCTTCTCCTGCTATATATGAAGATTTAAACTGTTTGCATTTGACTGATGAAACTGTTGTCTGTAAAGAAGATAAGATAACTGTCAGTATCAAATCACCTATTGTGGAAAGTTTGTTTAGTAATGTGTCATCTGTAATATATTTTTCAACCAAAGATGAAATAGGTAAAGTTTAATCCATTAGTATTAGCTGTTGCAAATCAAACTGATTATTTACAATTATACACTGCTCGACATTGAAAATGCAACACAAAGCAGGAATGGTCAGAAAGTTATGCAAATTTTAGAGTAGACGCATGTGAAATGCGCAGCTGTCTGATGCATGTGAAGTAAGATATAAGGGAAGGAACGTACAGAATGGGCAATATTACTGTCGTTATTTCTGCCAGACGAATTATCGAAGAAACTTGGTTTTTTGCCCCAGAGGATACGTGAAATAGGAGGGAATGCCAGGGCGCCGGCAACGAAGGCACTTCCAGTGGATAGACGATTTTACGAGGGGTATCGTGATCGGACTGAGAAGGGCGGGTTGGTCCTTACATCAAAGCGCAGCTGATACCCACATGGATGCGAACATGGTGCTCTGCAAGGTATACAGATGCTTCCCTGGCCACCGTATTCTCCTGACCTGTCACCTATCGAACATGTGTGGGATGTGATTTGACACTGTTTGCAAACTCTGCCCCTGCCTCATTCAGAAGACAAACTGTGGCAAATGGTTGAAAGGGAATGGAGAGCCATCCCTCAGGACACCATCCACACTCTTATTGACTCTATTCCTAAACGTGTGTCTTCGTGCATCGCTGTCCGTGGTGATCCTACATCCAACTGAGCTGACGCCGTTCTCGCTGTGTATTCTGACTATCGTTTTGAAATAAAGATCACTTATTGCTGCTTGCTGTCTCTTTTTTCCAAATTTTATCACTTTCTGACCACTCCTTCTTGGTGTTGCATTTTCAATGTCGAGCAGTATAAATTGTGCTTATTTTTTTTAAATGTATGATGTTAAAAAAGATTTTATCATCTGAAATAATTGGCATCATATTTTGTGAAAGGAATATTTTCATTGTTAAGACAAATAGAATAAATCAGGATTTATATTGTTTATGAATTTATTTTCATGCTAACTTTTTGTTTTGCATTCTGTTGTGGAACATGGTAATATTTATTCTGTTTGATGTATTTATATTGCATTTACTAGTAGCTGTGGACTTTCTTCCTATCATGTTTCTTTTCACCTCATTTAAGTTTTATAAATCATCCCATAAATAATGTTATGTTACAGACAGGGCTTGTTAAAATATTCTAACATGGTTAGGTAAATGTGTAGATTCAAGATAGTTTCATTTAGATAAATTCTGGCTTGCAAATGTGCTGGTATTAATTTGCTATTTTAATAGCCCCTTGTAAAATTGGTCGCCACAGAAAAGAAAAAAAAAAAAAAAAAAAAATCAGACATATACTTTACAAGTGTAAAAAAGGGCAGTAGGGCAGCTTACTAATACTAAATGAAGAGAATAATATAAGCATCTGTATTGCTGTTCATTCACATGCAGAAACTTTTTTTACCATTTAGTGCAGGGGGGGCCAAATACTTTTAAACGCAAATAAAAGGGCTTTAATGCATCATATAGGCAGGCCATTGAAGGGTATGATGATGCTTAAGTGTTGATCTTTGGTTTTACCTTATTGTTGCTAGGACGTGACTGTGGGTGGGAGAACCCCCTCTTTGGAAGAAATTAAAAATATATATATATAACTTGGAACATAAAGGTATGAAATTAAGTGCATAAAGTTATCTTTAAAAAGCACAGATGGTGAACACAGCTGCAATGGTCGTGCCTGCTTTCTGTTCTTAAGGTCGGCGGTAATTGATTGATTATTTTTTTTGCTTGTAAAGATGGTTGGGCTACTGACAATTTGGATACGTCAGAAATTGTATCTGTTTCTGTTGCTGAGCATCAGATGGTTGGTATGTACAATGTGCCAAAAGAAGGGCGGACAGTTCTATATCTCCTGATTGATGAAGCTGATTGATGAAAATCAAATTTTGTTTTTCACGTCTCGAAAGCATGACTTGGGATATGTATTAGATTTCTATATAGCACTGTTGTAACATAGGTATTTTGACACAAAATTTGGCTTTTTCTGATATAACATACCAAATTTTTTACATATTTTGATATGCCTAAAAATTAAATTTTGTAAAATATGGTGGAAAATTTATGGAGAAATTGAAAATTTTATATTGGCGGATATTTTTTAGTTTGTGCCAAGACTAGTTCATTTGTCAAACTTCTTAATATATGGAAACCTTTTTTCCTTTCCTTTTATACATGTGCATTATAATTCTTATTATTTTAAATAATTTTCTTCGGTTGATCTTTGGATTATGGTAACTTGGCGATTTTTTAGCGAAAATTTGGCGACCAACTCTGCTACAGCAACCCTCTATTTTTTTTTTTCGCCGCCATTTTGTCTTCACGAAGTAAAGACATGTTTCTTTTCTTTTTATTTACTGAACACTTTTTCCAACAATCTACTAGCCGAATTACACTTATGCTAGAAATTTTATGTAACAAAACTGCTTAATCATGACAAATATTAACTGCAAAATTGGGAAAAAGTGCACAATCGCAAACTCCTTGCGCGTTTTTCAGAATAGCACATACACATAAACCATTTACACGTCGACTTATTTTTACTTTAAAAAAAAAAAAATCCCAGAATTGCACAAAAATGGCATTGCACACACTCTTAACTTTATCCATCTATCTACACTGCTATTTTCTCATAAATTACAAAAATTTGCACGAAAATGCAGGAAAATTTTCTTAATCTTTAAACTCGGTAAAAAGAACATATATGAAATTACCTGATCGCGAAAAAGTATATACCCTTTCCAAGGATGAACATTTCCACGTATAAAATAAATAAAATATCCAAAAACTTTTACCTCTAAATTATCTATTATATTATAAACGTCACCAACGAATTTATACGCAAACATTAAAAATAGTTACAAATACTTAGTGTCAAATATTTAAATTATTTCCATGCACGTTTACTTCAACTGAAACGTATACCAAATTCCTACAAACATAAAATTCACAAAATAACTATCATTTAATTAAAATATCACTAAACCATGTACACGTCGACTTATTTTTACTTAAAAAAACATCCCAGAATTGCACAAAAATGGCATTGCGCACACTCTTCACTATATCCATGTACACTGCTTTTTTCTCATAAATTAGAAAAATTTCACGAAAATGCATGAAAATACTCAACGTATACTACTCAAATGTATTCCAAAATACCACAAAATCATGATCATTAAATTAAAATATAACTAAATTAAAAAACACTACTTAAAATATAAATAAGCACATACATTAAATTAATAATAAAAATTAGATTACAATCCTAATTACTTTAAACTAAATCATTGCTAATAACAATTTTCCAATAATACCATTTTAATTTATTTACTCCTTACATTTAGAACAATGCATAAAAATAATATCCTCAAATGATTAAAAATACTAACTTACCTAATCTTCTTCAGAATCTTCATTACGTGGCACGCACACTTCCCTACAGAAAGAGTTCCAATTGGCTGCAGTACCACTGCTAATTTCTAAATCCGAAATCCAGTAGTCAACTTATTATTAATTATTACGTATTAAAAATTTAGAATTCACTTTACCTAGCGCCATGCAATACGAAAATTAATCAACACTATTTCACACAACACACAATGAAGCTTAACACAAAATAATTTTTCCAAATTTACCCCCTTTTCCAATTAAAGAACTGTAATTCGTCCATTAATGTCACATGACCTATCTCATGATCTCTTATTTCCCTCACACAAAATAATGCGTAATCGGAACTGCCTGTTTTTCACATTATTACCAAAGTCCTAGGTAGTAACCTTTATCGCCTCCAAAATGTTGTCAAACTACCTGTTACCATATTCCAAATATCAGCCTTTTTTTTCTTTTTTGAATTCATTTTAATTGTTTAGGTTGCTTGGTGTTTTTCAAACAACTGTTTTAAAAATTTCTATTTACTCATTTGAACTGCATTGTTTAAATAAAAGGTGCATTGTTTATTATTTTCAAATAGTTTTCTTTATATTATATTTTTTAGTCATAGTTATTATTTAAGTTAATTTTTAATTTTAGAACTTTGTTTTAAATATTTGTGCTGCATTGTCTCTTCGGATATTTGTTTTAAAATTTTCTATTTATCCATTCATACTGTGCATTTTAAATATATTTACTAACATAAATTTTCCAGAATTTTATATATTTGAATTGCATTTCTTTTGAAAGAATGCTTTGTGACTCAGACTACGGTGCATTTGAAAACTACATATATTAAAAGAGAAAATACTATAAAGCACAGTTAACATGCCTTTTGATGAGCTGTTCAGAAAAGATATTTTATTTCCCTAAGCCCAGTTAATTCCTTTCTAACTTAAGAGCAATGAACTTAACTCTTATTTATATTAGACTTTAAATTAAATACAGCACCTTGTGTTTATTCCTATAGAATGACAATCTAAACATGTTATTTTTCTCATGCCAAAAGCAGAATGCCTAATTTATTTTTGTTTTAAAACAATTACACCACACATTATATGTTTATTGATGAAAACAAATAAAATTTATAATACATATTAAATGCTTATCTTTAGGTAGTGATTTATGTAGGAACACACACACACACACAGTACGTAACTGCTTTCTTGTATATGTGCCAAATGATATATGGAGACCTGTTATTGAAAATCTACATATTTCCATTATGACGTTATTTCATTAAATAGGATTGGTTTTCCATATACATTTACATAAATTAATGGCTTTCTGAAAGACTGCTTTGTCTTTTTGTGCTATTTAAATTAATGAGAAATTAAAAATAAACAGCAAGTTTTTAAATGGAACAATCAGTCAGGATAATTGAGCTCTATTGTATATTTAAATGCACTGTGTCATCCAAAAAATTTTCAGTTTTTTATAATCAATAAAATTGAAGCAGCATAAACGCACGAGAAAATTTCAATAAACCACATAAGCACCATTTTATCATGACTTTTTTTCATCTCTCCAGCAGCTAGAAAATTTGTTTTTTAAATTCATTTGTTGTATTTGTAAAGGTGCTGTTTGACAGTCTTCAAAGAAGTGAATTCCATGCTGTTCAGAAAATTTTGAAGTGACCTGAAGAAACGAAAATCTGCGGCGGCAGGGTCGGTCTAGTGAATGAGTGTGTGATATGCGTGCCTTGCTTCAATTTCTGCTTTTAAAACTGGCTTTTAGAAACTGTATTCCGAATTTGTCTGATTTGGCGACAACAATTCATAAAACACATTTTCTTTTTTTGTCCAGCTGTATAATTGTCATTACTTTTCTGGAATGGAACCTCCTTCTTGATGCTACTAAAAGGAGTTTCTTTTGATTAAACTTTTTTTTTTTTGTAAAGCTTATGCTTAGTGTATCCACTTCTCATCTCCAGTAATGAGCCATTTTAAAAAAGGAGCTTCTGTATTTCTTTTTAGTTAAGAATCTCATGCGAAAACTTGCACAAGCATGTTCTCTGTTTTAAAGTATGGAATACCTTTACCATGGCAGCTTACATACCCAGTCTTTTTCAAATAATCATATACTGTATTTTTTGGAATATTTAGTATCTCTGATAGCCCCTAAATTGTATAACATGGATATTCAGTAGTAGCTTCATTAAATAGGTTCTTATTTACACAGGATGGTCATTCAAAACAAGCATCCTTTTTGAGGCTTAAATTTTGTATATTTTAATTTAAAACATATTCGAACTATTGTCATTAGAAATAGCACTTTCCTTTATGGTGCAAATTTGGTCAAGAGTTCGCGTTTGGTGGTTTGGGAGGGATTGAATCGGCTCTTCATGCAGTTGGGAAGTTTTCACGATTTAACCGACACCCTGAATTTAGAGATGGGGATCTTTTGCTGATACTATGTATTTGGTGTCTGTTTGGGATCTTATCTATTTATTTATTATTTACCTTTCAGTTACCATTTAAATCCTTTGATTTAAATGATCAAATGGCAGAAGAGCAATGGGCAATATTGCCTAAGCTCTTTTCCTTCTTTTCATAAGAAGGAAGCGCCACTAATGTTATGTTATGGTGCAAATTTAATGAGCAGTCTAATTAGCATTTTTTTTCTATCTTAAAAGCACAGAATATGATAAAAATTAACTCGATCAATTTTCCACAGTTAACACTGCACTGAAAAAAAGAATTATGCCACAACACATGTTAGGATTATCCAACATGAAAACTATATTTGGTACTTTTCCGTTTCACAAATCTCTTCAAGGAAACCTTGTTGTCGACAACATACAGTATACACATAAAAAATGTTAACAAATGTTAGTTCTAAATATTTTTTATTTTGAAGGCACAAACATTTTAATATGGTTCAAATTGTGTAAAAAGCCAATAAATAAAGATAATAAATTTGTAAAAAGACAATTTAAGAATTTACTATGCTATCATGGTTCAACATCCTGATTCGCCGTTTCGTATCACGTGACTCTAAGTGATCTCACCTCACGTAAACTACGCTACAAAAATCTAATTCTCTCAGTAATTATCTACATTAATTTCAAGTTAAATCTTAATTTGGAGTAAAAGTTTAAATGCAAGAATTTATTTCAATTCGTACGAATAGCTTACTCAGAAATTATGTAAAACCACAGTGCTTTACTTCACTAGTGCATTCCTGTTAGAATTCAGGAATTTAGCCCTTGATTTTGCCTTTTCTATACTTTCGCTTTCGGGTGAGCGATTTGATTGCATCCTTACTGAATTACTGCGAATGGTCTTAGGGCATAAAATTTAACTGTTTTGTAAACATTCTATGTAATTGTATGCCAGCATTGAAAGACAATCAATCTGATGGGAAATGGCTGCGACTTGTTTTGAAAATGAGGTGTAAAAAGTTATCAGCAAAGATATTCCGCTTGGCATCAGTTATACCATTATTGGCGACTTTATCGTTTGCGCTGGCAAAACGGAAATGTACCCTCTATTTCCTCATCAATTTCAATCAGGCTTTCAGCAGCAGTAATAAAATAATTGTAAGAAAATGCATTATGATTTAAGAGTCTGCAGAATTTTGGGAATGACTCAATTCTGATTTGTTCAGATTCAGAAATTGATTCAATGCCAATCAAATCATGAAATCATACAGTATTTGGGAATGAGGAAGTCTCCAAAAATAAGTTCAGGATAGTAATATTTGGCAACAAAGCCTTTAGCTGTGCTTTATATTAATAGTAAGTATTTTTATGTGTTCATTGTTTTGATTAGTAAAATAGAAACTCACATATGCTATTTTCATGCTTTAAATTTTGTCTGTATTTTTGCATAAGAGAGAAGTAATTGAGAACCAGTTCATGAATGAAATTTCTTCAAATGATTGCTTGTGATGGCGATATCCACAAGTTGGCAACACAAAACTAACTGAAGTCATTAAAGTCTAGAAGAAAGGAAGAAAAAGTTAACATAATGTTAAGCAAGTAAAATAAGAAGTAAATATCATTTTAGTATGCTGTATGAAGGATAATAGATGGCATAAGTAGAAATCGAAGGGACATAATTGTTTGGATGTGGGGGTTCTCACCCATAGAAACATCACATAACTGTCTTTGTGGTGCATCTTTTCTTTCTTTTCTTTGCTGTAATTACTGTACTCCATTTCACTCAGAATGAGTTCAGTGTGATATATTGTCAAGATTTTAAAATAATTCTAAAGTGAGCATAGCATCACGATTGAAAATACTTTTGCAGCTTGCTACTGCTGTATCGAAGATATATTCTTACATGAAAACTCTGTGCACTTTATTTCATTTTGCAAATCAAATAACGAGGATCGTCTTTCCTTCATTTCTCTCTCTTTTTTTTTTTTTTTTTTTTCCTGGGACGTTCTGTGTAATCAGTTTTTTGAATTGCTCTAATTCTTGTTGAATTCATTTTTACAGTCTTCTTAGAGACATATTATCATATATGTTATTAAAAAAAAATTCAAATGTTTCTGCTTGCAACTCTTGCCATTATTTCTTCCAGGTCAAGTTCTTGGCTCTGTAAATCACCTGCTGCCAGATTTTGTTATTAAAGAACAAAGCAACAGAAAATATTGAAATGTTTCCTGATGTCTCTGCACATTAATTCTGTGTTAGAAGTTCTCTCAAAACACTTTTTTGAAAATCTTGTTCCTAATTTGTTCGTAATTTAAAATACCTTTATCACCAAAGATGATTTTTATTTGTATAATTTGTTGATGAACTGATTAATTTGTTCATTATGAGAGGCGTTCATGATCTATGTTTCCACTGTATTGTAAAAAGATGATGTTTCAAGTTAATATTTATTTAAATTATAAGTATTTGATGTGTAATAATTGCATATGAAAAATAGCACTTTCAACATTTTTTTTTTTTTTTTTTTTTTTAATTGAAGATAAGAATGCAGTTTTACCCACTCTAGAGCATAAATTCTGTTCAAATTTTTTCCAAATATTTGATATTCATGAATATTATTTTGGTGTGGTGTTTAATTTGTATGAAAATGAATTTTAAAGTATAAATTTTTGGAAACATTTTTAAAGTATTAATAAAGTATATTTAAATTGCAGTTAGTGCCATGCCTGAAAATATATTACCTCTTATGAAATGGAAATTATCCACCATAACACCAGTTCCGATTAAAGAGATTGTATTAAAATGTGGGTTTCATCTGGTGGATGGTGAGTTATTCATTATTAGTGTAAAATTAACAGGTAAAAATATCTTATCATTATTTATCAATAAAGCAATTTATCTATTGTTACCCTCATTGCAATACTAAGTACTTTCAAAAGTACAGTAGAATATAAAAAATCAGCATAGGTTGTGCAGATTTTAGTTCTAAAAATTTCCAGTCATAAAAGGAAAATCTTTAAATTTAGATAAACAGAAGTAAGAATAACTTAATTTAAGAAGTTACATAAAAGCATTTAATTTCTTTCTTTCTTTTTTTTTTTTTTTTTTCTTTCTTTCTTTTTTTTTTTTTTTTTAAATTTTAATACACAAATGTTATTTGAATTTTATATAAAAAGAAAGAATGAAAATTTATTTTTTACATTTCTCAAACATCTGTTTAGAGTAGTTTACTTTAAAAAAGGATGTTCTGCTTTGAGTCTTTTAATCTCAAGATTACACAATCATTACTTTAATCTCTTTAAACCATTCATTACACATGAGACACACACAAAAAAGTCTGTGTTTAATCTAATGACACAAGCATCCAAAAGTTCATGCATAGATTTATGTGATATATCTCAAGGAATGCACAAAACAAGATGTAGCTGATGATGATGTAGCAAATTTTTAAAGATTTTAAACTAATAATTTAATATCCCACCAAATTCTGTTTCTTATTCTTTGTTAAAATATAACTACAGTTTTCACTGTAAATTAAAAAATATGAAAAAGTTTTCAAGGGTTCGAAGAGAGAGCCAAAAAAAAAAAAAAAAAAAAAAAAAAAAAAAAAAAAAAAAACTTTTCTAAACATCACATTGTTAAACACCGGTGTACACCTTGTAAACAATAAGTTTATTGTGGTTTTGAGTAGCTGAAAGCAATATAACTTACACATTATTATCCAGCCATTTTGGCTATGTGTAGTGTATCGTTACTGATGGTGAGACAGCAAGAATTTTTTCTTTTGATGAAAATAAAACCTCAAAAATCAAAATACCTTTGGAAAGCTGCTGAATAATTTAATTAAAATATGTGCTATAAATATCAAGAGATTGGACTTTTTATGTTAATAAGTTTAAAAAAAGGATTAAATTTGTTGGATTTTTAGAATTTGGAAAAAAATTAGTTAACCATGTGAATTTTATTTGAGAATTCAAAAAAATATTAAATTTTTAAGAAACTACTCATGTTGGAATTTCTTACTGTTCTTTGTTTAGATATTGGCCTATATATTTCAAAATGTAATTAATAATTATTCAGAATTTTTTTATACTGTATGTATTTTTTTTTATAATTCATGTGAATTTGTTATTTTTTCCCTAAATGAACTTATGCTACATTTCTGATTAAACTTGCATGGAAGTAATTTATTGTTTTAAAATTTAAGAATTTGGATTGTAATTTTCTAAATTAATCGATATTGTGTCGTTTGATATGAATGGACAGCATATTAATTTTGCATTAATTGGCTTATTTGGTTGCTAATTTATTACAGTAGCTCCCCGTCATGGATTTAACCTTTTCCACAGGGGTGGGAGATGTCCTGCACACTCACTTCTTTTAATGTCTTGAGAAATTTCAGTAAATTATGCAGATTTAAAATTTACTCTTTATTATGGGTGGGTAAGACCTCGCTGATTTGTTTTTCTTCTCATTCCTGTTGAATTAGCTGGCTGAATGCCCCTAATACATAAAAAATTTGGCCATACAGCCCATGGAAAAGAGATAAATCTATTGCCGGAACATTGCATTAAATAATCCTTGCTGTTTTTCTTCCCCTCCAAAAAAAGGGTAAAAATCTAAAGCAGAAGGGTGACAATAAAGAGAGAATTGCATTTATTTTATGCATCTTTCTTTTTATATCTTGTATTATTTTGGGGGGGGATCATGTGGCACTTATATAGAAATGCCATTTTTTCTTAAATTATCTTATATAGTACAAAGTCCATAATCCGGAAGTGCATTACCCAGAATGATCTATAATCCGGACCTCAAAGCCACACACTTTTTTTTTTTTTTGTATGCTTTATGCATGCATGTTTAATGTATAACTGGAGCTGCCAAAGGATCTACAAAGTGAAAGCATGCTGCGATGTCCATCAAACAAAAAGTGGAATTGCTGCGAAAACTGAATAAAGGCATATCTGTCTCAAAATTATGCAAGGATTATGACATTAGAAAGTCAACTGTTTATAACATAAGGAAAAAGAAAAAGGAACTTTTTGAATTTTTTGTGGATTCCAACACGCCACGTGCAATGAATAACAGAAAAAGGGTTCGCTATGCTAAATGTGACGATCATGACGAAGTGGTTATTGAATTGGTCAGACAGCGTCGCAGCAAAGGCATGCCATTGACGGTTCCAATGCTAATGGCTCAAGCCAAAATATTTTATGAAGAAATGAACGTAAACACTGAGTGCACATATTCGACAGGTTGGTTAATCAAATTTAAAAATCGGCATGGTATGCCCCAATCAAAAAATTTTGGATGAGAAAGCTTCAGCTGATACTGAAGCTGCTGAACAATTTGCAGATGAATTCATTGAACTTGTTGCTAGTGAACAAATATCTCCAGAACAAGTTTACAACGGTGATGAAACTGGTCTTTTCTGGCAATATGTACTGCAAAATATCTTGGCAACCTCTACAGAAAAGGCTCCAACTGGTGTCGAAGATTATAAAGCGAGACTAACAATTTTAGCGTTTGCAATGCTGCAGGAACGCACAAGTGGAAACTTTTTGTAATCGGAAACATGCACGACCTCGAGCATGTAAAGAAGTAACGATTTTCCCCCTTATATATCATGCAAATAAAAGAGCATGGATGACACAAGTGTTGATGAATGATTGGTTTGAAAATCATTTTATACCCGAGGCTCGGTTGGTTTACCTGATGACTCAAAAATAGTCCTGATTGCTGACAACTGTTCGGCACGTACTTCACTTCAGTTTTAGTGAAAGCTAATGTATCCGTATTACTCTTCCCTCCAGATTGTACATCTATCATTCAGCCTATGGATATGAGAATAGTGCACGTGCTGAAATGCAAATAGCATTTTTAAAATCTATGTTAAATTTGTTGAACAATGGCAAGACTGTTCAAGACTTTTTGAAATTTTTTAGCATAAAATCTGCTGTGTGGAGCATCGCAAGATTGTGGAAGGATGTGTCTCTAGATACGTTAAAAAATGCTTGGCATAATTTATGGCCAGCTACCATATTTCATGGTGAGGACGATGAAGATGATAGCCGCAAATTTGAAGAATTTCGGGCATCGCAAACTAAAGGAGAAATTTTCCAGTTATTGGATTTTGTAAATACATATGGAGAAGCTGTAATAAATGAAGGTGATATAACAGAAGTTTTCATTGCGACGACAATGCTCCAATGATCAATCAATCAACGGATGGCAAAATCTGTAGTATGGTTCTAGATCCAGAAAATACCGCTTCCTATAGTGAATAAAGTGACAGAGAGGTTATTGAAAACGAAAAAATTCTGATTGATGACTATTTCAATTGTTAGTCGGTATTCTCGACACAGCAATTACAGGACTTGAACAGTGGAACTTTGTAACTGAACAAGAAATTTTGTCTGTTTATAGAATTAAAGATAAAGTATTAGCACAAAAAATGAAGTAACTTAAACAACTTACATTGAAAGAAATGTTTAATAAAGTAAACAAATAAATATTAAGCTTTTTTTTTTTTTTTTTTTTTGTAAATTTTGATACCCTTTAGATTGTAATTGCTCTTTATTTCATAAATTACGGTTTTTTTTTTTTAATTGTATAATTTCTGCCTGCCAGTGATGCCAGCATCAAGATTTAAATTGATGATCTATAATCCAGAAAAACCCCTAATCTGGAATTGCCAAATTTCCGACGCGTCCGGATTGACTTTGTACTGTATTAAATTTTATTCTGTCATGGATGTCTATTTGAATGGTAAAGTTTATATATATATATATTTTTTTTTTAGCTGATACTACTGAAAATTGGATAGGAACATGGGGAAAGCATCTGAAATGCACTTCCTTCAGAAAAATAAAAAATTTCCAAAAGGTAATTTATTAGTTGAATTCTTATTTAAAAACTAGTTTTTTATATACAGGGATATAAAACTTCAGACCAGAAATCAAAGAAATTCTTTCTCAGATATACGTTTGTTTAAATAAGTAGGTTTGAAGTTTTACAAGTATATATAACTTCAGCCTACATTTTTTTAATTTTTAGGTATATTCTCTGTATAACGCGCACCTTTTTCCCTATGAAGAAACCTGAAAGATATATGTGCAATGTTCTTATCTTTTGAAATCATTCAAAAGGTTTTTGACAGGCTTTCTAACTATGGTATATTGAATAGATAAGTGATAAGGGGAACAATATGTGTGTGGGGGGGATGCTTGAGAAAGTAAATAAATTGTAGGTTTTATTCATTGCAGACGTGCACAAGAATAAGGTTTCGAAAATACACTCACTTCCAAAAGTTAAACACAAAGGTATAAAATGCAAAAAAATCAACAAATACTGCTTTGATTGACACAAAATTCGGCAGGAAAGTAACATGTATATTTATGCATAAAACAAAATCAATAATTATATACAGAAATAAAAACAATATTAAATTTTTGTAAGTTATCAGGAGACATAATTATGTATAAAGTGAAAATAAACAGTATAAAATGAAAAAAAAGACATTACTAGGGTATGTGATCCCCCCTCATCTGTATACAAAGTTTACACCTTGTGACCATGCTTTCAATTATGTGGTCAACCACCGCAGAATTAAGCAAGCGCCATTCTTCTTGTAAAGCAGTTTCCAGCTCAATAAGAGTGGCTGGAGGTGGGAAACGTGAAGATACAGCACGGCCGAGAGCATCCCAAAGATTTTCAATGGAAGATTGGGAGAATATGCTGGCCACGCCATACGCACTATCCCTTCACTCTCCAGGTAGTCATCGACGATGTCAGCTCTATAATGGGATGTGCATGGGTATCAGTCCATCCAAAACAAAAGTAGGGCCAACTGCTGCAGCTTACAATCTCACAATGGGTTTCTAGGACTTCATCTCGATACCGGACAGCCGTCAAAGAACCCCTGTGTAAAGATGTGCAGGTCGGTGCGGTATCCTAATGAAATAAATCCCTGTTCACACCATAAGTGCTTCCGCCTCGGAATGCGTGATGTTCGGTGATGTTTTGGGCCTGATTGCGTGTTCGTTGTTCATGCCATATCCTTATACGCTTGTCATCTGGCTCCAGAGGAAATCTTGACTCATCAGTAAACATGACATTGCTCCAATCAGACACATTCCAATTGACATGTTCCCGGCACCACTGTAATCGCACCCCTCTTGATTGGACGAATAGAGGAACACAAAGTCGAGGTATCTGGGCGTAGAGTCCACTCATATGTAATCTTTGGCATACAGTAGCTACAGATATCGCCTTACCAATAGACGCTGTAACCAAAGATGTCACACGTGTGGAGGTCGCTGTGGGATTCCGCTTGGGTACAATAGCAATGTATCAATCTTCCACGGGGGTTGTAACCCTTGGGCGACCGGCTATGGGCCTTCGGACAACTGTCTGTGTGGTTTGGAATTGTTTCCATAAACGTGAAATTACAGAATGATGAACGCCGAAGAAAAGAGCAACATCTGTCATCGACTGTCCTGCTTCAATGCGCCCCACAGCATGCCAGAGCTCAGAATCTCCCATTCATTTTCTGGAAGTCATAGAAACATGTATGTCTTGAAAACAAATTGTATGAAAGTTTTAAACACCTTCTATCAGCACTTACAATCTACTTCTGTAACCCTTTATAAGGCTGGCTTCTTATAAGACTGACTTTTTTGCATATTTCTTGACATGAAAATGTGACTAGCTGTTACCTAACATATTTGCATATTTCCATCTACATCTACATCTACAGCGAATTACGTCCTCGTCCATTCTGATTGGCTTCCGGAAATTAGCATTTTCCTCTCTGTGTTTAACTTTTGGAAGTGAGTGTGTGTATATATATATATATATATATATATGTATGTATGTATGTATGTATACTAAAGAAATATTGATTATATTATCTCCTAAATCCAAAAAGAGTGAACCCATATGTAGGAAGTTTAGTTCCGAAAATTGTGTTTTTTAAAGTAACTTGAATGTAAATTATTAAAACTGTTTTACGGGGACTTGAATTAAATCATGAATAACAAAATTTCAAACTTTGAAAAAAAATTAAATTAAAGCAAGTAATTATAGCTATTGATCGGAATTAGTGGACTTTCAAGGAAACGAACCCCGACTTCCATTCAATGAACAAAATTAATAATACGGAGGTGTTTGTCTTTTACCAAGTAAGAATGGTTATGCCAAACTGGCAAATGAGATTAGGCAAATAGTCCCTGAAGTGATGGGATTTAGAACCAAATTAGAGTACCAAAGAACTCAAAAGCATTTTTCGCTAATACAAATTTTGAGTGAAAAGCATTATGTAGTAAAATTTATAAAAATATTGAGTAAATGTCCCCTGACACTTTGCTTTTATGCATATTAATTCAAAAAACTATGTGTATAAAATAAACAGTGGTAATTTTAATTGAAATAAATCAAAGTAATTAAAATAAAAAATTAAAAATTAAGAAACAAAGTAAAAAAACCAAATAATTAAAACTGAAAATAAATATATACCGGATGGCCTAATTAAACTGAGTGCACAGTGTTCTGTAGCGCGATCTATTTGCGAGAATGACGCCACATTTTGTAGGAAGATTATACAAGACGGGGAACGAAGGATTCCACGAAAAAACAAATTAGTTCTACCCCTAGGGGAATATTTGGCGCTGTGTAATAGAAAATAGAGTGTTAACAAATGCAAATTAATACGGAAAAAAAATTACCTTTTATTATGCACATTTTCTGATTTAGTTCAAGTGCAATATGGCAACACTTTTAAAAAAGCGTAAAATCTATATAAACACTATTATTTCAATTACTTTGAGTTATATTTTATAATTTCAATTAAAATTACCACTGTTTAATTTTTATACACATAGTTTTGAATTAATATGCATAAAAGCAAAGGTGTCAGGGAACATTTATTCAAGTATTTTATAAATTTTACTACATAATTGCTTTTCACTCAAAATTTGTATTAGCGAAAATGCTTTGAGTTCTTTGGTACTCTAATTTGGTTCTAAATCCCATCACTTCAGGGAACTATTTGGCCTAATCTCATTTGCCAGTTTGGCATAACCATTCTTACTTGAGTAAAAGACAAAACACCTCCGTGTTTATTAATTTTTGTCTTGTGATCTGCAATATCACGTACGCTGAGCAGAAGAAGTTCTTTATTCAAATTTCATGTTACATCCATTTGCACAGTGCCAGCTGCTTGGGTTTTAAAAGGCAATGTGTTATGTTTCGAATCAATCGGATTGAAAGTTTATGTGCAATGTCTCTTTCTTTAGTCGAGCGTGCGTTACTGGTCAAATTCTTTTACCTCAAGCAGTGCAACGCGTCAGCCGCTCTTTGTGCTTTTAGAACGCACAAAAAAATGCATGAAGGTAATGGTTCTGTGTCAGTTAATAGTCTAAAAGAAATAGTTGCACGTTTGAGAAAACAGGTTCTCTGAAGGTTCAGTCAGGCAGAGGACGAAAATCTGTACCACAGGATACAATCGAAGTAGTTGCCATGGCGATTGTCGACAGAGAACCAGACAATATTGCTGCCACCTCTAGCACTCGTGGAGTAGCTCGGAATTGGATGGGTATGCCTTACAGTACAGTATGGAAAATCTTACAAAAGATAATCAACTTCTATCCGTTCAAGATCAGCCATGTACAGGAGTTACTGTACCCCGACCATGATAAGCGATTGACTTTTGCTCTCATCTTTCTTGCCAGAAGGGAGGTGGATGATGCTTGGCCGTGGAAAATGTTATGGGGAGACGAGGCCCACTTTTACCTGAATGAAACTGTGAATACAATTGACATGAAAGGACCAAAAATGATTCACGTAAAAACCACAGATCGGGGGGGGGAGGGGAATCTCACCTTAGTATAGTCCTTTTCTTCTTAGCGGACAATGCAAAAATTAAAACCCTTGTGGTGGCTATGCTAAAATGTAGTTTCATAAATGTTCTTTTTCTTCAGGTTCGCAAAAAAAGATAGATGGATGAAAATGGTGTGAAATTATGGAAAAGAAATGTTTAGCAAAATCATCATGTTGCATTTAAGAATCCATTTACTTTTAGTTTGGGACATGTTCAGATCCCATCTAACAGATAATACGAAGAAATTGGTGAAAGAGTGTAATACAGATGTGTTTGTTATTTGAGGCAGATTAATGCTATTAGTGCAGCCTTTAGATGTGTACATTAGTAAAACATTAAAAGAAAATTTAAAAATCAGTGAAATATGTAGATGTTAAAAGGTGAAAAAACATTTTCAAAAGGAGACAAATATGTCATGCTAATAAAAAAAAAAATTGAAAGTGGAAATAAAAGCATGGAATGAAATTAAACCCGACTTAATTCAAAAGTCATTTAAAAATGTAGTATGTCTAGCAATCTAGAAGAAACAGAAGATGGTTATTTATTTATGGATCAGAGTAACAGTAATGGGAAAGACGAAACAGTATTCGATGATGTGCCTGAAGATATACCTGAAGACAAATATCATAAACTTTTCATGTTATCCACTAATGAGAATTTTTAAGTTGATGACATTTCTTTTAAATAAACAGCATTTAGGTATATGTAGAAATGTTAAGTTTTGTATGCTTATCTTTTCCTTATTTTTACAGTTGCTGTCATCTTTATTTCTTTTGTATAATACACACCCATAAATTTCTATCTTATTTTTTGTAAAAGTGTGCATTATACGATATGTGAATATTATTAGTAATAAAACATAATGTATATTATTTGAAAAATAAAAGCATTTCTCTTTTCACAAAGTGCTTTAAACCAGTATCGGAATGCAAGTTTCTGTGTTGTTCTTGCGAAATTTGTTGGACGAGTATGCATGTTTTTTTTTTTAATTTCTTTTCACTTTCTTTATAATTCTGTGTATTGCATTAAAAAGGTCTTCCCCTCACTTGATAGGATATTAATTGCAGTAATGCATCTTTACTTTTGCATATGAAAAGGAAAAGTTGCATTAAATACTGTGCTCTCAGTTACAATTTGTAAAGAACATAGACCTTGAACTCCTGTTAACAGATGTATCATTTTAGTGGAATCTTGGCATTAACCCTTTGCGGCTCACTATACGTTAACGTCGGAATTTCAACAAAAAAGTTGTATGCAGTCTATTTAGTCCTAAAGGAGTATCTAGGTAAAATTTTGTAAAAATTGCACTTATCGTTTTAATTCTGTGGGTGTTCCATGAGGTGGAACACTGCGCCGCCAGAGCTTTTAAAAGTGCGACTAAGCGAGCACTGCAGTGAAGCACGACGATGAGTAGAAGCGTTGTATAAGAATGAATAAAATCTGTATTATGGCTGTATACACGGTTTCCTGGATATACATAATATTCTTGAATATATACAGATAAATAAGATAAGTATCTATATACACAAGTACTATATACAAAAATATTTACAAATTTTCGGAAAGAGTGCTTCGAAAAGAGTTAGGCCTCTCCGCACCATTTATAGAAAATTAATAATAAAAAAATTAACTATGATTATATTAACAATAAAGAAAAATAGGCCTATAATATATACATACACGAAAAATATCTACACAATTATTGAAAATAAACGAGAATGATACTGAAATGCGACAGCAAAAAAATTCGCGCAGGTCTAAGTAAAGATGAGTCAAGCTACTAATGAAATTCCTGCCTAAAAGCTACTCCCAAAAAATTCGAGATGCCCAATATTAGGGCTTTCATAACAGAAAACACCCCTCACCCCTCAATACTGCTTTGTTTGAATTCATCCCCCCCCCAAACAAACGGAAACAGAAAACGTAAACAGCAGATGTTCTCTCCTAAGCACAGATGTTCTGATTCGCAACAGCATGAGATCGCTGAAGGCGCAGTGTTCCCGCTAATGGAACACCCGGGTTTATTCAATGATTCTGCGTATGGTTTTTGTATGAAAGATTAAAAAAAATATAGAACAATTTGGGGAGAGTACAGCCAGCAAAATTATGCCTAATTTTTTTTCCAAATAAAATTTTTTATATCATTAAAAAAATAGAGAAAAAATACTTGAAAAAAAGAATAAATAAAAAAATCTGGTCTTCTTGTGAATTCTGCTATCTACTGTTTAAAAAGAAAAGTTCAAAGTATATTATTAAGGCTTTTTATCTATTTACGGTTGAATTTAAAGGTTCCAGAAGCAATTCAATTTGGGTGTTCCATGTAGTGGAACACTGAGCCGCAAAGGGTTAAGGGTCAGGTCCTAAATTCTTAGACTTTTAAGATAACTTCGCAAACATTCTCTTATAACTGTCAAGAGCATTGGTCATGTGAGTGACTGCTTAAGAAAGTACTATATTATTTTTCCTGAGAATTTCATGCAAGTATGATTTTTATTATGAAATATTTGCAGGTGAATCACTATCCAGGTAGCTTTCATCTTGGTCGGAAAGACAGGCTGTGGAATAATTATAAACGTATGCAGAATCGCTTCGGAGAAGATGATTTCAATTTTTTTCCTGAAACATTTCTTCTTCCAGCTGATATGAAATCACTGAAAAAAACATGGGAAAATGAAACAGACAGATGTTGGATAATAAAACCAGTATGTATTTACATTTTACTTTTATCTTACAAAAGATCTACTTTGATATTTTTACATATAATACAGTCAAAAGTCGTTAATCCGAACTCGTCGGGACTTCGGCGATTCCGGATTATAGATCATCAGTTTAAATCTCGTAAGATGGCATGCAGAAATTCTAAAATTTAAAAATATGAAACCGTAATTGAAAATAAAGAACAATTATGATCTAAAGGGTATCAAAATTTTGCAAAAAAAAAAAAGCTTAATATTTATTTGTTTACTTTATTAAACATTTCTTTCAATGTAAGTTGTTTAAGTTTTTGCTTCATTTCATTGTGATAATACTTTCTCTTTAATTCTATAAACAGACATAATTTCCTGTTCAGTTACAAGAGTTCTGCTGTTCAAGTTCCGTAATTGGCTGTGCCGAGAATACCGACTAACTTGTCAATCAAAATTTTTTCGTTTTCACTAACCTCTCTGTCACCTTCTTCATGTCTTTATTCATTTTTTGCAGCAATTCCACTTTTTGTTTGATGGACATTGAAACATACTTTCATTTTGTAGATCCTTTGGGAGCTCCAGCATCGGAAATTCTATTTGACATAATCGAAAGTTCAAGTTTACTTTTAGAAAATTGCTCTTACAGTCTGCAAAAAAATAATAAGCCGCATCCAATTCAAAGATTAACCCCTTAACTGCCGCGGGCGTATATATACGCCTTGCTCAGCCGATGCATTAACTTTGCGAATAATTTTAGGTGTAGCAGCGCAAAGCAAATGATAGCAGTTTGGAAGGACGTATATATACGCCTGGGGCAGTTAACACATCGGCTGAGCAAGGCGTATATGTACGCCCGCGGCAGTTAAGGGGTTAAGGAACAACGCAATCATCAACATTAACTGAAATAAATAATTAGATAATTTTAGCTTATTCCGTCTGTTGTACATTAAACGTGCACGCGAAATCGTATTCTGCACTTACACGCATATGTGTAGTCGTAAAGGTCTTACACGCACGCGTAAATGCCTATGCACATGTGTCAACGCGGCGCATGCGCAGAAAGTTTTTAGCATTGAGGTCCGGATTATAGATCATTCCGGATTATGGGTGTCTGAATTAACAACTTTTGACTGTACTGTCTACAGGACATGCAGGATTTTCTACATTTTTAGATATCCATTACATTTGATAGAAAATCTATTAGTAATTTTTAATTTGTGGTTGATATGGTAATATGTAGTAAATTAACTGTATTTTTATTTTAGCCTGCCTCTGCGCGGGGCACTGGTGTTAAAGTTATCCATAAATGGGGTCAAGTACCAAAAAATCGCCCAGTAGTTGTTCAGAAGTAATATTATTTCTTTTAATAAATTTCTTTTTTCTTTTTTTTTCTTTTATTTTGTTTTAGTATTTTTCTTTTCTCTTTAGGTATGTGAGTGATCCTTACCTCATTAATGGTACTAAGTTTGATTTACGAATTTATGTCCTGATCTCAAGTATTGAGCCCTTGAGAGTTTACGTGTTTGAAGATGGCTTAGTTCGCTTTGCATCTGAAAAGTGAGCCTTCATTGAAAATTTCTTCTTTTCTTTGATTAATTAAAGTTTATATAATACCACATGACTGAAATGAGCATTTCAAATTGCAATTTAAGATTGCCTTCAGACATGATTTAACTCTTATGAGTAATATTTTAAAATTTTTAAATTATTCAAAATCAGTCTATGAAATCTGACACTGTGAAAATAATATTTTTGTTCATTTCATTTTATCAATAAAATGCCTATTACCCATTAAGTCATTGTAAATTTTAATGATCTATAAACATTGAACATAATATAATGTATTGTTTTAATTGCATCATTTTGTGAATCAGATTTGCCTGTTCTTTAGAATCATTGAACTGTGATGTAAAGATTAAGGCTAAGCAACCCCCGCATTGATTTAATTGTTTGACGTGCTGTCCAGCAATGATGTGAAACCATCATATATGATATATGATGGTTTAGTATCTTGTGGAAAAAAAAAAAAATGAATATACTATGAACTCTTTCTAACATAACCATTCACATTTTTGATATTTTAAATTTTCTTTGGAGGTAGTTTCTTATATGTTTGTGAAATCTTATAAATGCATTATATATTAAAATACAAAAAACAGTTCATTTTATATGTGAACCAAAGAATTACAAAAAATTTACATTATACACTTTGTTTAGTAATTTTAAAAACACTTACTGAGTATTAACCCTTTGACGTGCGCAATATTATTTTTATAATTTTTTTAATTGAAAACTCTAGAAATTGAATATTATGCTCCTAGAGACAAATAATACATGAATTTAAAAAAATCTTCTCTTGCCCATTGTTCTGTGAGTGGTGGTCGCACTGTGAAACCACCGCGCGTCTAGGACTTTGAAACTTACCTAGGTAGTAGGGGGGAAAAAACTTACCTTTCTCTGTACGCGTTTCCAGTAAGTGACGAAGTTTACAAATTTTTAAAAAATGTATGTAGGAATTGCATAATATATAATTTTTTTACATTATTTTACAAAGTAAATCGTCAGAAAAAATTAAAAAATAAACATTTATGTAATTTTTCTATAGCAGTGAAAATAGAAATACCTACATATTGGCTAAACAGATTAAAAAACTCGGTAAAATAAGGATAAAAAAAAATCAATTTCAAAGATATTTTTTGTGTGGTTCTAAGCATGTTTTGTCTTTTTGGTACAGGTATAAACCCACATTGCACGTTTCCCACATGTATCTTCTATGAGGTTTCTTCCTTGTGCAACAAAATGTACTCCTGGATCTAAATTCAATGATATGTCCAGCGTTATTTAGTTTTTTCATAGGCACATGAAATTTGTGTTTTTTTATGTGATTTATTGTCTTTTTGGATTGGTTACGGGATCATTCATTTTCCATTCATACATTTTATTCGTATTCATCCCAAAATATTAGAAAATATTTTTAATTTAAATAAAACTTTAGCGATTTCTATTTTTAATTATAGCAAAATATGTTTACATTTAATTTAAACCACACGAAATAATTTATAAAATCAAACTACAGTAGACTCCCGATTATCCGCGCCTGCCACACAAAGTTTCTTTTTTTTTTTACAAGCGTAAAGCAAAGAAAATAAAAATGTTCACAAAACTGAGTGAAACGTTCAATTTGCTAACATCGTGCTTATTTATGGCAAAAATATCCCAGGCCGTCCCGGAACCTTTCCCTCTAATGAGTAAGTGATTTCTTACTCACCCTTGCAGTGCCCGCTCTACCGCCCTCTCTCGTCTTACTGACATGTCCGCTTCCTCCCACTCGCCATTGTTAGTTTAAGTCTGATAGTGTTTGCAAACCGGTTGAAGTTAATTTCTTATCTTTTATTGTGTTCAGTTCTTGTGCTTTTTGTTTTTGTGTTTTTTGTTATCGATTTAAAATGTCAGGAAAACGAAAGAAGGTTGTGTTGACGATTGCGCAAAAGCTAGAATTAATTCCAAAGTAGCAAACGGCGTTACAAGGCAGCAGATGAAATTGGATTACGGAATCATGGAAACAACAATGCGTGAGATTCTAAAGCAAGAAGACAAACTGGTGAACTTTGCATCAGTGTTGGACAGTGCTTCCGCAATGAAAACGTGAAAAACTATGAAGGGTTCTACCTTTGATGAGCTAGACTTGGCATTGACAGAGTGGTTAGCTCAAGTTCGAAAAGAGGGTACTCCTGTAAATGGTCCTATCATTGCGGCGAAGGCAAAAACCTTTTTTGAGTTGTTAGGCCTGAAAAGAAATTTTGATGTGTCTTCTGACTGGTTGACTCGTTTTAAGCAGCGACATGGAATTTGAGAAATTGGACTTCATGGGGAGAAACTTAGTGGTGACCACAAAGGGGCTTTGCAACAAGTCGATGGACTGCTGAGCTAGTTGGAAGAACAAGAAGACGCGGAGTTGGCCGAGAAACTTATGCTACGGAAATGCAATCTCGGATCAAGAGAAAATGCTTCCGAAGCAAGAAGCAAACACAAGTGATTGATTTCTTCAAAAAGGTGTAGTTTTACAGTTATACTTTTGTAATTACATAATACATTATGGTGTTAAAACGGTACATACGTATTGATTTTTCTGTGTATCCTTGACGCCTCTCATAAGTAAGTAAGTATAAAGCACTTTTCTGTTTTCATTAGCAAAATGCATTTTAGGTTAGTTTTGAGTGATATACTAAAATATTAAGCCTTAGTTAAACATTTCCTGCTGTTTATTTCACATTTTATTGTACAGAAAACAATTTTTCAAAGTTGGAATGACTGTTTTCTCTTTTGCTATACCGGTTTTTAGGTTTTTTCGTATTATCCGCGGTGGCCGCGCCACCCAATTCCGCAGATAATTGGGCAGGGTTCGTAGTAGTCCTTACAAGTGCTTATAAGTCCTTATATTTGAAAAGAAAATTTATAAATGCCGTTAAAGGTGCTTACTTTTTATTTAAAACCCTTATTTTTTGGTTTTTAGTGCTTATTTTTTTGCTTTTAGTGCTTTTTTTTTAATCCTCGTTTTTTTTTTTTTTTTTTTTTATGAACGCGCATTTTTCCCCGTACCAAAGCTGAAACTAAATAAACAACTTTTCTTCCTTATATGCAACGTCAGATGGTGAATCTACTCCCGGAAATTGCTTTTCCCCCTTTCTCTGCATTAATGTAACCTATGGTGCGCGCAAGAGTACAGACAGCTGCACGTCGTGCTATTGGTTAAAGAATTGCGAAAACGGTAGACCATTCCGGTACATTCGGTATTCTTTTCCTCCCACCCAAATATTACACACGTTTGAATTTCTATCAAGAATTTAAGGCTCTATTGTAGAATTGGGTGCCCCTTCGATTAGTGGCAAATTTTAAAAAAAAATTTTGTCGATGAAACCTCATTTCTGGTTCCCATGATTCCTGATTTTTTTAAAATGAAAATAGATTGATGTGTACATGGACAAATTTAAAACAGTTCACAATGCCTAGTTTGTGCAATTCTGGGATGTTTTTTTAAGTGAAAAAAGATCAATGTGTACATGGACACAGAGTTTGTGCAATTCTTTGACTTCTTATTTTGGTTTCGTGTAGCGTCTATTTTGAAATTGCGCTTTCTTGGTGCCGATCTTGGCGTAAAAAAAATAATCGCCAATAAACAAGGGGCACCCAATTGTAAACTTTTACCGAATTTAATAATTTGCATTCTCGTTCCATGTGGTCAGTACATATTCGTGTTTATTATGATCGTTATGATTATATTATGAGCATACGCATGAATATCTATAATAATATAGTTGCAGTAACTGCTGAAGTATAGATAAACTTCCAAAAATGGGTGTGTTTTTTCACAGATTAGCTTTCTAAGGAATAATATTCGGAATGGCTTAAATAAAAGGAAAATAATCGAATAGTCAAAAAAAAATTTTTTTTCCCCCGAAACATTAATTATACAGTATGGAGGTTGGGAGGTTCTCCCCTTTCTCCGCAAAATCTCTAATATTGAAGCAGCGGACTTTTTTTTTGTCAGTGTCCAATCTGGATTGAATAGGACTAAAAGTTTTGCGGTCTACCCAACCCAAGCGAAGACTGTATTCCGGAAATTTAACACAGTCTGTTCAAAATTAGAATCAAAAACACCCAGATTAGTAATCTCAGTTTTTTTTTTTTGTTTTTTTTTTTTTTTGTTTTGGCGTTTGTGTTTTTTTTTTTTTTTTTTTTTTTTTTTTTTTTTTTTTTTTTTTTTTTTTTTTTTGTTTTTTTTTTTTTTTTTTTTTTTTTTTTTGTTTTTTTTTTTTTTTTTTTTTTTTTTTTTTTTTTTTTTTTTTTTTTTTTTGTTTTTTTTTTTTTTTTTTTTTTTTTTTTTTTTTTTTTTTTTTTTTTTTCTCTTTTTTTTTTTTTTTTTTTTTTTTTTTTTTTTTTTTTTTTTTTTTTTTTTTGTTTTTTTTTTTTTTTCGTTATTCTCCGAATACTGGCAGCTGTTCATTCTGATTCCGATGGAAGAATTACGCGGTACGTATTGCGCAATAACGTTTGCGGTATTTTGCAGAGATAATTAATTTTGATGTTCACTCTGAGATTTATTTATGAACACTTAAAAGAGTTTTACTGTGCTTTCTAAGCAGAATATTTCTCAGTTCCGTTGGTCTATTTTTATATGATGCACATATCGAAATGTCAAAATCATTTATTTAGACGAGAAATCTAAAGAATGGCTACAATCTCCCTCCCTCTTTTTCCAGTTACGCCCGTGCGTAACTGGAAAAAGAGGCCTGATATCACGTGCTGAAGAATTAAGGCGCATGTATTGTGCAATAACGTTTGCGATATTTCGCAGAGTTTCACTGTGCTTGCCAAGAACATCAAAATGTCGAAAGCATTATTTAGCTGAAAAATCTAAAGAACAGCTACAATCTACCCCCTTCCACTTTTACTAATTACGCTCGACTATCCAGAATTTTCAGATATTCGTTAATTTCCGAATATGCTGGTTATTTAAGCTTTTACTATTAAAGGATGACTGCATGACACAATTCCGCGTCTCCTGATTTCAGAAATGTGCCTCTTTTTTACTTAAATTACTTTACTTGGAATATATGTTAAGGAAAAACTGTTATGCAATGAAAATTTAGAAAATGTTCAGAATTTTGATTTAAGTTAAATTATTAAATATTAATATGAGTGGAAAAATTAAATTGTATTTATTATTAGGTGCCAAACGAATACAATTAATATGGCTTATTATTATTTATTTTCTATATTTTAACTGAAATTTAATCATTAATTTGTAACATAGTTTAGTTCTGCATAGTTATTTTTTTTTTTTTCCTGTCATTGTAAACTAATTCTGTAAATTGAACTGTTTACTATTTTGTTTTGAGGGCCCTAAAAAAATTACAGCGAAAAATGTATGCGCAAAAGCGCCCAAATCTAGTAAACGCGCCATTAACAGCGCGCCAAATTAGCGTATGTGTGATTTCAGATTGCGTTAAAGTTTATATAGTTCTATATTTCTTAAAGACACCCATTGAAATACTAATATTAATTTTTAATTTTTATATATATTAATATATATATATCCTATAGATTTAACAATTTGGGAATTGCCCATGATGAAAAGTCGGGAATAGAATTTGGGGTAAAGTGCAGAATCATCCACTGCTTGACGCGTTTTTAAGAACTGCACATACTCAGTATCCATGTGCACATCGACCTATTTTCACTAAAAACAAATATCCTAAAATTGCACAAAAATGGCAGTGCGCACACCCTTGACATTATCTATGTACACATTGATCTATTTTAACTTAAAAAGTAAAAGAAAATTGGCAAAAATCCAATTGTTTTTACCCTTGTAAAAAGCGGCGAACAAATAAGTGAGCTTTTCCGCACTTTACCGAGAATATTTTCAAAGAAAAGGCATCATTCATTATAGAAAATTACGTTTGAACAACCAACAAGATGAAATTATGCTTTAACGATAAGTCGGTAGCGAAATAGCGGTGCAGGCATCCATTCAGTTATGTTTAGCAATTTTATATAAATTAAATAATAAAAAAAGTATTATATGAAATTAACTTTCATCTAAATTAAAACATCAATCTTAGATAGTTATTTACTATTATACTTCCTGTCTTGCCACAATTATTAGGGTTGCTGCAATTATTTTTGGGCAGCATTGGCCATCAACAATAGTTTGGCGATTTTTACGGCCTCCAAACCGAATAGTACCAAAAAGTTAATTGTTTCCATGGTTGAGGTAATGCATTTCGTAATAAATATTGCATTGCATATTTTAAATTACAAGTCTAATTTTTTTTTTTAAGGTTATGCAGTGTTGTAAATGTAATTAGACAGGTGCTTATTTTTTCCTTAAAATGTGCTTGAAAAGTGCTTATAGGTGCTTATTTTTTTAACTAAAATGTAGCTATGAACCCTGTTGGGAGTGTTCTGTACTAGTTTGGGGAGCAAGTGTGTTGAGGTCAGATAAAAGTCTCTGGAAAAGAAAGACCTTTTTACTGGGCAGGTGCATGTATTGTTTAGTACCACCGTACCACGTGTCGTTTCAGGACGCGACCACCGTGCGTCAAAGAGTTAAAATACTTATCTAATGAAGTCTGCGGACTTCATTTGCAGCAGATTGCCACCATTTTCACTGAAAAATTTTTAATATTTTTTTAAAGTTTAATGCTTGTATTTTTGGAGTTACCCAGATGTTGTTTATATTGTGTTATTTCTGCTCATCTGATAGAATATAGTTATATATTGATGTTTGTTTATATTCTCAGAAATATTGGTTATTTTCAGAGATGATTGTGGAGAAAGGATTGACTATATCGCAGCCTAATCTCTCATTTTTCTAAAGGTTAATGGTAGCATTATTCTTTGCGCTTTTGCAGCTGAGGATGGTGGTTTGGTAAAACCATCGAAACTAGTTCTGTGAAAATTCGAAATTATAACGTTGAATTTTGTAGTTTGACTTCTGAATTAAAATTCTCATTCTTGTTGAGAATTAGTTATTTTTCTATTAATGGAAATGTTTAGTTTATGTGAATATATTTTTAGTATTGAATATTTTCTTTTAAACAGGTATTCGTTGTCAAACAAATCATTCTCAAACAGATATATACATCTCACTAATTACAGTATAAATAGAAAAAGTTCTTCATATACAGCAAATGAAGATGAAAATTCGTGTCAAGGACATAAATGGTATAAATATTTACCTTTGAATAATTTTTGTGATAATGTAGTACAGTCAAAAGTCGTTAATCCAGACTTGTCGGGACTTCGGCGATTCCGGATTATCGATTTTTCCGGATTATAGATCATCAGTTTAAATCTGGTAAAATGGCATGCAGAAATTATAAAATTAAAAATATGAAACCGTAATTTATGAAATAAAAAACAATTATGATCTAAAGGGTATCAAAATTTACAAAAAAAAAGCTTAATATTTATTTGTTTACTTTACTTTCTTCGCTATCGGAAGCGAATTATGACGAGCAATTTGATTTAAATCATATCAAAGACGGAGTACATCGAGATGAAATACTACATTTAGTAAGGAATTATAAGTCAAATAAAATAAAAACATCTGCCCTGAAGATAAGGATTGTGCTGACAGATCAACTTCCAATTCATCGCGCGCCGTGGCGTTTCCCCGCCGCAGAACAGCGTGAAATTGATAAACAGATTTCGGAATGGTTAGATAAACAAAGGATATGCCTTTATGAATTTTTTGCAGCAATTCCACTTTTTGTTTAATGGACTTCAAAACATACTTTCGCTTTGTAGATCCTTTTACATATTAGTAAATATATATCGGAAATTCTATTTGACATAATCGAAAGTTCAAGCTTACTTTTATTAAATTGGTCTAACAGTCTGCAAAAAATAATAAGCCAGATCCAATTCGAAGATTGAGGAACAACGCAATCTGCACCATTAACTGAATTAGATAATTTTAGCTTAGCTTATACCGTCCGTTATACATTAAACGCGCATGCGTAAACGTAGTTTGGGCATGCGCACACGCATATTTGCAGCCGTAAAGGTCTTATGCGCATGCGTCAACGCGATGCATGCGCAAAAAGTTTGTAGCTTTGAGGTCCGGATTATAGACTATTCCGTATTATGGGTGTCCGAATTAACGACTTTTGACTGTATAATCATAAATATCAATGTAATCTATAATGTGGAAAGCCATTTCATTAATTAATTGTTCATATTTTAGGATTAATGTTTCTACTTACTACTTGTAAATAGATACAGTGTAAAATCTGAAATCTAGAATTTTTCAATGATTCTGGATTTTAGATTTAGATTATCAGTTTAAATCTAATAAGATGGCATGTAGAAATGATAAAATTAAAAATATGAAATAATGGGATATTTATAACCTTCAGAAAATTAAGATTTACAAAAAAAGGAGGAGTGTGATATTAAATTATTTGTTTTATTAAAACCTCTCTTTTAATGCAAATTGTTTGAGCTGTTTTGTTTTTTGTGCTAAAAGTTTAATTCTGTTGGCAGACATAATTTCTTCTGCAATTTCTATGTTGAGAGTTCTCAGTAGACTCTCAATCGAAATATCTTCATTCGCCAAAAAATCTGTATGTAGTGATGTTTCCTGGATTGATTTTTGCCATCTGTTTATTCTACAAGATGTCATTGGCATTGATGGGGGCATTGTTTCCTGCAATTAAAAAATGCTGCTTATCATCTTCATTTATTATCACTTTTCCACATTTCTTCACAAATTAATTGGGAAATTTTGCGTTTTACTTGTTATATGTGAAAACCTTCAATTTCATGGCTATCACCATCATCATCGTGAAATATGGTAGCTGTTCATAAATTATTCCAAGTATTTTTTAAAAATATATGCTGGCATATAGCTTGCAATACTACATGCAACAAATGTTATGTTAAAGTATTTCAAAAATTCATTAATGATCTTGTTTTTATACCTGCATTTCGGTGCATTCAACACTGCGATAACCATTGGCTGATTGATAGATGTACAGTTTGGAAGAAAGAATAAGACAGAGACATTATCTTTGATTTAAACGTTTAGTTGAACAGTTTTTTTATAACCTGGGGAATTTATGCATTCACCTCGTAAACCAGCCGATTTCAAATGTTGCCAAACTCCAGTGTGAAAAGATTTTTAAACCAATCGTTAATTGATGTTTGCCTCTGTCGAGCATTTTCATGTGAATAATGATAGATGATGGGGAAAATCTTTAATCCTGTAAATTGTGCATTTTCCCAGTTATGGAAAGTTTACTTTGTGTGCTCCTATATCATTTGCACATGCCAAAATTATTGCTCTTGCTTTTGGAATCTTTGACACTACTGCAAAAAATTGCAGAAGTCACCAAGGTATTGTGGGTTTGGGATACACGTTACCAGAAGAAACCAATTTAGTTTCATCAGTGTTATAAATTTGTTGTGGAAATTCCCTTTCACTGTTAATGAGTATGATAGAGGCCTTATTATTTGCTATTTAAGTGGGCTGTGGACTACATGCAACAGTGTAAAATCTGTGAATAAATGAATCTCTTGTGAATAAATGAATCAGTTCAAAGAATTTATCTGCAAATTTTCCACCTGCTTTAGTATGAGCTGAAGCCTTTTTAGCTGAAATTTATAACTGCCTCTTACAATGGTGCTTTTTAAGAATGGTTAGCCAGCCTGTTAAATGAACTCAATTTTTAAATCTATTTCCTCATGAAATATTTTGGCTTGAGCCCAGCATTGGACTCCTCAGTGGCAAGCAATCATTGCATTGATGTCCCACCCATTGAATCATTACTTTGTCATAATTCTCTCTTTTAGCATAAGAAATGATTTTTCTTTTATTCATTTCTTAACCATTTCATGATTATCTGTAACTCTTAGTTTTCATGATTATCTGAAACCTGTAACTTCTAAAATTTTTCTGTTGGAGTATCATGTGATAGAGCATAATCACTTTACTATGAAAGGACACAGCTTCCACAACATCAGTTTTACACATTTAAAAGATATATTAGTGTCTAAGGATTCTTTTCACGAAAATTTTCAGGTATCATATTTCAATGAAAATATCCATTTTGACCACTATCGAATACAATTGTTTTTTCATGTAGCATTTTGACCATTGTATGAATATGAATAGCTTAGAATTATCTGACTGCTACTCTTCTTTTGCTTCAGAAGTGTTCATAGTGTATATCAAGTCTTGTATAAAGCTTACTTAGTGTGAAGCAATTGTTAGTGGAATGTGTTTATCATTTGCCTTTCATAAAAATAATTCTCAAGAAGTATTATCAAGTTATAAGCATTTTTAATTATATTCAAATGCAAAATTATCATAATACAATAAAAATTTATTTAACTTTCAGGTCCCTGAAATCATTTTGGTCATATATGTCTAGTAGTGGCATAGCTATTTCAAAAATCCAAGAAGCTATTATGGACATGATTATTAAAACAATCATTAGGTATATTTAATTTCATTTATATTAAGTAATTTTTCTTATTAATATATTTGATGCAGAAATAAATGCTCTCTATTTTTTTATTAAGTACCGAAGGTCCTGTATGCAGATTGATGAAAACATATGCAAGAAGTACATATAATTGTTATGAGCTGTTTGGTTTTGATATTATGCTAGATAAGGATTTACGTCCTTGGCTTTTAGAAGTGAATATATCCCCTAGGTATGTTCAATTTGCTTAAACTGTTGCATATCTGTTGTGAAATGAATTATTTCAACACATTTCTCTTTTTTTTTTTTTTTAACCTTCTTCCCCCCTTTTTAGTTTGCATACTCGTTCATTGTTGGATTCAAGTATAAAGGTAAGTTGTATGAAATTAAGTAAAAAAAATTTAGAGGAATTTAATACATTTATAATCTAGAGCATTTTAAAATTCTGTTAATTTGAAGGAATTGTTTCTAGTTTTATTTATTAATGTGCAAACTTTTTTTTTTTTTTTTTTTTTTTTTTTTTTTTTTTTTAATAGGGTCAGCTAGTAAAAGATATGTTAAATATAGTTGGCTTTCAAGTCCCTTTGATCAGTTCACCTACTGCTTCAGATGATGGGTAATCATTTAAGTACATTTTGTTTGTATATATGGGGAATCATATAAATATATTATGATGTAATTTTTTTTTTTTGTTTGTTGTCATTAAATATATGCTTAATTCAGAGTTTTGTAAAGTTTATGACTGCATGGTGAAAATCACTGTATTTGCTGTTGATTTTAGTTTTCAAAGCCACATCATATGTAAAAGATATGGCCACTGACCAGTATATTATATAATATATTAAGAGATTAGAATTACTATTATTTTAAAAATTGGATATAGTTAAACACATGAAATATAAAAAAATGTATAAAGACAGTGCAGAAAAATGGCAGAAGGAGCGGAGGAGAAAGGTAAAGACTACAAGAACCAGTAAATCTGTAAATGAAGTATTTGTTGGACCTCCAAACATTAAATATCACACTGTTGATTAACATTAATACTCTAGACATTTATTCGAGGGGAATATGTTAGAATCCGTAGAGGAAAATATTCTGGTTTCTGGATCATATTTTTCTTCTGACATTTTAAAGTTTTGCATACACTAATTTCATTTGGTAAACTACTAATTCATTGTTTTTGAGAATTATGTGTACAATAGACCATAATGGCATGGCTCATCTAACAGAGTTCTACAATGAATCTAAATTTATATGTGTGTGGATCAGCAGTATTTCTGTCTAGATCAACATTCAGTCTAGTTATATAGGGAATTTGTTGTGAATAACAAATTAATCTAATCAGCAGCTTTCAAGTTGCATTAAATAAGTCAAAAGCAAACTCCATTGTCACACTCTAAATCAGTGTGCTTCTGATTTTTGCGTTGCCATTCAGAGGCAGAGAAAAGTGTCTTTTTAAACCAGAACACTACCTTTGGACAGCCAAATCAACTACCCTGATTAAGTGGTACGTAACATTTTGTTTAATGTCAATATAGGATTTCAACCATAAAGAAATATCAAAGAAAAGTTACTCTGTTTCAAACCAAAATTTAATCTGAGACTTGTTAAAAGTAGAGTTAGGAAAAACATTCCATGATAACATATATAGAGTTTTTTTTTTTTTCTTTCTTTTAAAGGTAAATGAATAAATAAATTTTAATTTATATACCTTATCTGCATTTGTTGCTGTAATGGCTAAAAATTGTTTCTACTTTTGCCTTTCCCAGAAAATCATTTAGAGGAAAAAATATTTAAATTATTTATTAACTATTTTATTTATTAAATTTTTTTTATAATTTCATTTAAAAGAGAATATGTGGCTATAAATGCATCAATCCAAGAACAGTTTCCAAGGCTTCTATTTTCAAAGAAGTTGGAAGAGCTCTCTTTGTGCTTCCTTTTTCTAAATTATTATTATCCAACATTTCAGTTTTTGTTTTCTTGAGTATGTCTTAGGTCTACTATTTAGTGAATTTTCATCGATATCTTCAAATTATTCAAACCTCCAATTATAATGTATGTCCAGGACTAATAGTTTAGAAAATCAAGTCTATATGCTCTTTTACCTCCCTTAAATATATATATATATATATATTATATCAAAATATTAAATGATTTAAGAGAATGTTAATATTTCAATAGTTTTTTAATTCATTGTATAAAAGGATGAACGTACGATATTAGATGTTAAAATAGAATATTATTTAAAACCTTAAACAAAATTTATATTAAAATTTGTATTTTATTATACTGTAAAAGATATTTTTTAAGAATTCATTAATTCCATAAGCTTAACAATGACTGATAAAGCCAAGCAGTTTGAATTTTCAAAATTTTTAGATTTCTTAATATATAACTTTTCCTTTTTATACTGTCACTTTTTTTTTTTTTTTTTTTTTTTTTTAATCTTACTTCTGTCATTGCCCTAAGTATCTGCTGCACATATTATTTTTATACTTTTTATTTCAGTATGTTGTCATATTCAGAGATTAAGCAAAGTTCGGTACGTAACAGATACTTATCACCCAAAGAAAAGAAGAAGCATGCAGTGTTTACATTTCAGTATGCAGATATGGTAAGAAAAGAAATTAGTAAAAACTTTAGAAAAATATCTCTGCTTATAAATTTTATAAGGGTGCAAAATTATAGAGTGCATAAAAATTTACTCCGATATGCTTATAGATGTGCCAACTCTTCTGGTTTTTGATTGCATTTCTGCCAACCGAATTTATAACATATTTCTCTTGACTTTCTGCTTTCCTAATATTTCTTGCATTATTTATTAGTTGGGCATAAAATTTCAGGATTTTAATTTTGAAGTAGAATTTGCAGTGTCTGTTAGTTGCTTTTTTCTTTTGATTACCTATTAAAATGGTATTCCATCAATGGTACTGCTATGTACAGGTTTGCCATGCTACCCAGAAAACCGGAAAAGGTTAGAGAATTCGAAAATTGATAAAAAAATTAAGAGAAAAGTCAGGGAATTTAAATATTTTAATTAAAATCTGGAACCCCCCCCCCCAATAAAAAGAGAGTTTTGCTCCGACGTTGGAAGTGATCACTTTCTTGGCGAATCATGTATTGCATGAGCATCATTCGGCTAACTGGCATAAAGCCAATTTTCGCATTTCCAATTAGATTTGTCTTTTAGAAAGCAAAGCAAGTTTCTAGCAGCTTCCGCTTTCCATAACCTTAAGAATCGAGAGACTCGCATGTGAAGTACATGTTGAACTAAAAAAAAATATGTGTTCTCGTATAAAACAAAATTGGTTTAATCTTAGTTTACAGTACCAACAGTATACTAGGATTAAACCGATTTTGTTTGATACGAGTTATGGAAGTTATTCTATAACTATTCTATATGGAAGTACGAATAGCTTCCATGTATTCCATTTTAACCTTCACGTATGTTACACACGGGATTTGGCAACATGATGATGAGCAGTAAACAGTTTATTTTGGTGTTGGCGACAATTTTCAAAATCGTGCCACGTCCGTAGTGTATACTAGGATTTTATCACAAAATCTTTTAAACTTTTTTTTTTTTTTTTAAATAAATGCTTTATTTGTCAGTTTGCAATAAAATAGTAAACAGTCACCTAGTAACAGTTACCCATTTAATGTAACTATATTTGCCAAAATATTGTTGATTATTCTAATTCAATTTTTAAGTACAGTCAAAAGTCGTTAATTCAGACACCCATAATTCGGAATGATCTATAATCCGGACCTCAAAACGAAAAACTTTCTGCGCATGCGCCGCGTTGACACATACGCATAGGCATTTACGCGTGCGCATAAGACCTTTTACGACTGCGCATATGAGTGTGCGCAAGTGCAGAATACGTTTTCGCTGAGCGTTTTATGTATGATGGATGTATAAGCTAAAATTATCTAATTATCTATTTCAGTTAATGTTGATGATTGCGTTGTTCCTTAATTTTTGAATTGGATCCGGCTTATTATTTTTTGCAGAATGTAAGAGCAATTTTATAAAAGTAAGCTTAAACTTTCGATTATATCAAATAGAATTTCCGATATATATTTGTTAATACAGTCAAAAGTCATTAATTCGGACTCGTCGGGACTTCGGCGATTCCGGATTATCGATTTTTCCGGATTATAGATCATCAGTTTAAATCTCGTAAGATGGCATGCAGAAATTCTAAAATTAAAAATATGAAACCGTAATTTATGAAATAAAGAACAATTATGATCTAAAGGGTATCAAAATTTGCAAAAAGAAAAAGCTTAATATTTATTTGTTTACTTTATTAAACATTTCTTTCAATGTAAGTTGTTTAAGTTTTGCTTCGTTTCATGTGATAATACTTTCTCTTTAATTCTATTAAACAGACATAATTTCTTGTTCAGTTACAAAGTTCCGCCGTTCAAGTCCTATAATTGCTGTGTCAAGAACACCGACTAATTTGTCAATCGAAATTTTTTTGTTTTCAATAACCTCTGTCACTTTTCTTCGCTATCGGAAGCGAATTATAATGACGAGGGGAACTTGTTTTAAATCACATCAAAGACCGGAGCATATGAGATGAAATACTACATTTGGTAAGGAATTATAAGCCAAATAAAATAAAAACTAAAAACATCTGCGCTGAAGATAAGGATAGTGCTGACAAATCAACTTCCAATTCATTAGGCGCCCGCCGCCGAGCAGCGTGAAATTGATAAACAGATTTCGGATTTCAAAACATACTTTCGCTTTAGATTCTTTACATATTAACAAATATATATCGGAAATTCTATTTGATATAATCGAAAGTTTAAGCTTACTTTTATAAAATTGCTCTTACAGTCTGCAAAAAATAATAAGCCGGATGCAATTCGAAAATTAAGGAACAACGCAATCATCAACATTAACTGAAATAGATAATTAGATAATTTTAGCTTATACGTCCATTATACATAAAATGCGCACGCGAAAACGTATTCTGCACTTGCGCAGTCGTAAAAGGTCTTACGCGCACTCGTGAACGCCTCTGCGCATGTGTCAACGTGGCGCATGCGCAGAAAGTTTTTAGTTTTGATGTCCGGATTATAGATCATTCCGAATTATGGGTGTCCGAATTAACGACTTTTGACTGTATGTAAAGGATCTAAAGCGAAAGTATGTTTTGAAATCCGAAATCTGTTTATCAATTTCACGCTGCTCGTCGGGGGGAACGCCGCGGCGGGCGCGTAATGAATTGGAAGTTGATCTGTCAGCACTATCCTTATCTTCAGCGCAGATGTTTTTATTTTATTTGGCTTATAATTCCTTACCAAATGTAGTATTTCATCTCGATATGCTCCGTCTTTGATATGATTTAAAACAAGTTCCTCGTCATTATAATTATAATTCGCTTCCGATAGCGAAGAAAGTAACAGAGGTTATTGAAAACAAAAAAAATTCGATTGACAAATTAGTCAGTGTTCTCGACACAGCAATTATAGGACTTGAACAGCAGAACTTTGTAACTGAACAAGAAATTATGTCTGTTTAATAGAATTAAAGAGAAAGTATTATCACATGAAACGAAGCAAAACTTAAACAACTTACATTGAAAGAAATGTTTAATAAAGTAAACAAATAAATATTAAGCTTTTTCTTTTTGCAAATTTTGATACCCTTTAGATCATAATTGTTCTTTATTTCATAAATTACGGTTTCATATTTTTAATTTTAGAATTTCTGCATGCCATCTTACGAGATTTAAACTGATGATCTATAACCCGGAAAATCGATAATCCGGAATCGCCGAAGTCCCGACGAGTCCGGATTAACGACTTTTGACTGTAATTATCTTTTTTTTAACATTATTCGTATCATTTAATGTTGATTCTTCCCCCTAAATTTATTTGTTATTTGTAAATAACACTTTCGAATTTCAGGAAATTTTCTCTGCCATAATCCTGAAACTAATTCTAGCAGTATGATGACATCATCACGAAATTTAATGCACATAATTTTTGCTTATGTATGCTGCTAAATAAATATAAAATACCTGAATTTATCTAAAAATATTATTAAATAGATTTATTTCTTTCATTTAGCTGCAAAATGTATGCAAAAAATTTTTAATCCAGTTTGGGCAGATTCTAATCTCAATCTTCAGTGGAGAAAACAACTATTATAGTTATAATAGTAATGCTTTGGGGATTATATATGTAAATCATATTTAATTTGCAAATTTTTGTGTTTTCAAGTGGTACCATAATTAATTTAGCTCTTAGCACAGCCAACGTGCATTACGCAAATAGACTGGAATTTTTTTAAAACACAGCTAGAAAAGTCGGGGAATTTCATTTGCTTGTTTGAGTGGCAACATTGTATATGTATATAGGAGTAGATGCATCTGATAACATCGTAATCCAGTTCTCCACTGTCAGTGTGAATCAAGTGCAGTGGCAGGTCATCTGGAAAGTATTAGCAGTGAGCCCAAAACTTTCAAGTGTATTTCTCACATCACTAAAGAATGCAAGTGTAATGTGCTTGTTGAAATTGTTGGAGAATAATGCAATCTCTTGTCTTAGTTACGTCTGGGGGGGAACAGTAAAATAGTCATGCACATTTCAGAAAATATGTAGAAATGACTTTCCTTGAATTATTTCTTCAAGAAAATATTGTTTTGCTATGTGTACCATTTTGTCATAGTTATTTTTCGATTTTATGTAGTGGAAGGTCGTGTGTGTAAATATGTGCTTGTAACATAAGACGTATTCGGGGCTTAAATTAGAAATAAAGGGCTGAAAAATTATTAATACTGAATACTTATTTTCTCTATTATTTAATTGAGCTCAATCTGCATTTGATTGCACTGAAACTTTATTTAGAAAAATATTTTCCAACAGCAAAATTGCTAAAAATACTCATGCAAGGACAAAACTGAGTGCAGTTATTCAAGAAATGGACATGAATAAAAATCTTCAATTGTTGATAGCATTAAAACAGCTCCTTTCTGCCTTTCTATGGATAGAAAGAATATGTAATTGTTAGTTTTTTTTTAATCTTATACTTTCAGAAATTGGGTGTAGTTTATGTTCCCAATTTGAAAGAAGATTGGAGAGTTTTAATATAGCAAAGCTAAATAACTAAAACTCTGAAGGAAAATACAGTTTTTTAGACAACAGTTTCATTCATAAAATGAAAACTCAGGTTTGCAGGTTAGCAGCTGAAAAAAAGTGAACTTATAAATATAGATGAATTCGTTTTGGTGTTTATTATTATCTTAAAAATTCTAAAAAGAAAGAAAGGTTGAAACATTTCAACAGCTCCATAGCAGTAAAGCAAATAAGAAAAATTTGAAATATATATAAATATATACTTTAGCTATCTTTAGAAAATTGTATCATAGAATCCTTCAGTAAATGAAATTCAATTTATATACTTTTTAAAAAAGAGGTAATTCTTGAGTTAAGACTGTATTGAAGGTTATAAATAAAGTATCTCAAATTATGATATGGCTATGACTACTGCTATTACAACTAAGTGTGCAAAAAATAATTTCTTCAATAATTATTGCATTTTTCAATAAAATTGTAAAAATTGTAATTGTTATTGTAATTGTAATTGTAATTGCATTTTTCAATAAAATTGTAAAAATTGTAATTGTAGGATATCTAAAAAAAAAAAAAAAAGAAAGAAAGAAAGAAAAGAAAATTTTTTTTTTTTTTTTTTTTTTTTTTTTTTTTTTTTTGGACATTATAGAGTTTTTTTATCATGTAATTCATTTTGCCAGCTTTTGATGTTCAAGAACTTCCAGCTGAAGATTGAAAAAGAAATTTTAACTTCATGTTAGAAGTTGTTTCTTCTGAGTATATGATTACATTCTACATAAATATCCAGTTAACAAATAAAGTTGTCTTACATGCTAAAATTGCAGATTTTTCTACTGTAGCAATTGGCTCTTTTTCTGATGTAAGATAATTTTTTGAATAGATTTCCAGTTTTACTTTTAGTTTTCAAAGACAAAAATATTGTTGTTGCAACTGGTGAATTTTTCATTACAGCATACAGTTAGAAAACATTAAAAAAATTATAGAAGCAGCAAAAATTGATACTCAGTGGGATCTAATTAGAAAGTTCTAATGAAATTTTGAACCATTGTGAATTTTAAAATATTGCTGGCCGTTCTGACAATTTGCCGTAATACAGCAAGCAATGTATGAAAAGAGTAATTGAAACAAGGACTGAATTTATATGCAGTATAAATGCAGATGTGCTGGGAAAACTTCCTTTTGTATCTTTGCTGTTTAAAAATTATTTTTGTAGCTGAAAAAATCTGATTTTTTACTTTGGCAGGTTGGCTGTCGGTGTTTACTGAAAAATTTTCCTTCAGAGCTGCTGTGAAACAAATTTTTGATAAGGTAAGGTTATTATACAAAATAAAAACAGCTCTGAATGAAAGCAGGAATGCCAGCTACAAGGCTGTCTGGTATACTGCAGGCACTCATAATGAGTATACATATTCTCGCAGCATTACTATTGTTAGCCCTTTTGTACAAGCAGTACTATTTGAAACATCCTTGAATTTTTAAGTGCCTGTGAATTTCAAATTTTGTAAAAGCATGACTCTGGTATTTAATATACCAGAGTCATGCTTTTTCCTTTAAAATAATATGAAATTAACGAAAATTTTATTATTCAATCTTCCATCGTTTGTAGAAATCGGACATTCTAGAGGATTTAACACCCGATGATGTACGCTGTTTAGTCGAGAGTGAAGACGAATTCCATCGAAAAGGAGCTTTTACTCGTGTTTTCCCATCCGAAACTTCTTCCAAGTACTTTGTGTACTTTGAACATATACGTTACTATAATTTGCTACTGGATGCATGGGAAAAATGCTATTATAAAGACAGAAGTAGAGGTAAGTAGTTTCTTATTTGTATAGTATATGTATTCAGTAACTTTAGACTGTAATACTTAGTTTATCTGATGTACTTCAGAATGCATTATTGTACTTTTTAAAAGAACTCCATTTATAGTTGCAAGTATTTAATAAAAAGATTTTGTAAAAATGTATGTAATTACTTTTAAACTCCTAAAACAAGGCCAAAATTCTCATGTAGCCTTCACACCGGTACGATCAACCCTCCATTTGACTTTTTCCTATTGAGAAAAGTAGTTGTCAATTGTCCCCTTCATGGATGCAGTAAAATTTACATGTTTGTCGGATGCTGTTCGGTAGCCTAGAATGGGTACGCGATTTTTTTCGATGTTTATTTTGCTTTAATTCAAATTTACCTATATCCAATGTAATATTTATTTCGAGCAAAATGTTATACAATGTTTATATATCATTTACTATTTCTTATCAATCTCGGCAAGAATTTGTGAATTATATGACTTTGTTTTCACACTTCATTTATCTTCACATATTTTCTTATTAGAAATTAGAAAACTGTACAAAATACAATAAATGTGAACTAGCTTTGTAGGTCTGCAGGTTGGAATGCAATTTTTGATAATCTGTTTACATTGAGAAAATAATAGTAATGAATAATTAAATAAAATAATAAATTCATTAATAATCATTACAATTAGATTTTGAGAATCTGCTTTTTTCCATAATTTTGTTGTTATAATATAAAAAAGAAAATCAGATAAATATTGGTTGCGCTTGATGATTTAACTTTAACAAACATTACATTGGGCTATCAGGCAAAGGAGATATATTTTTAAATAGAATTTTCTTTGTAAAATTGGCTTTTGTTTATGTTAGCAGGGGGGATATGCAACATATACATGCAATCCATTTTATACCTGCAGCGTGAAGTGAAGCCTGATGAGAATTTTTGTGGTGTCCGAAGAGAGAGAAAGAGCACTCTTAAGCTTCATTTTAATATTTGCTAAAGTGAATTTTAATTTGTAATTTAAAATTTTAGAAAATATGAATTCATTAAAAGTATTTTTCAGAACAGTTTTAAATGTTTATAAAGAATTATACGTCAATTTCCTTTCATAGGCAGATTTTGTCTAAAACCATTGTTATATCCAAAGGTGAAGTTTGCTTGATTTTAAATGAGATGGGTATACATATGTTTTACATAATAAATTTTCTAATTTATTTTAAAAAGAGTAATCTTTCATATTTTCAAAAGAATAAGGGTACACTCGGTGTTTACGCATATAACATAGTACATTTGTTTTATTTCTTCCAGTCATCAAAACGATTACCTTCAAATATTTTTGAAGCAAAATTTAAGAAAATTGTTTATGCCACATTTTTCATAAAGTAACCTCTTGTGCATTTTTTTTTTTTTTTTTTTTTTTTTTAACTATGAAAGTTTCTCTTTGGAGAAATAAAACGTCATGAGCAAAACAAAATAAATTAATGAGAAATGACTTTGAAGTCCAATAATTCCATTGTAATTTGAAATATTGGAGAAAAGTGCAACACAGTTTATTTATTCACGATTAATTAACTCAAATTACTAATTTATCTACTGTCAATTGAGAAATGTGCATTAGTAAATTAAACCGGTTATTTTAATGCTTTTTCTTTATCAATTTTTTACGGGCGCTTCAGTAGCAGAGCGGTAATGATGGCTGAACACTTGTAGCTTGCTTGGATTTGAATCCCAGTAAAAGGGCATTTTCATGGTTTTCGTAAAGTGTAACGTAGATACCAGCCACTTTCCTTAGAAAGTCATTTACGAAGGCACCTCTCCCCCAATACAGATACGTGTTTTGTGCTTTGCAGTAATCCAGTAAGCAAACCAAATCAATCCACTGAAACCCCACAGAACGGGCTGATTACATGTGAAATTTTCCATCAGAAACGTAAATGTGAGCATTTTCTCTCAAAAAGGTTTACACGAAAGCATCCATTTCCTTAAGCAGATAGCGTTTGCACGTTTTTCCGTAATTCGGTCCTTGTTCGTATACATTTAACAGTGAGTTGCCATATACCTTTTTACAGTTAAAATAACATTCCTTTTTTAAAGATAATTTTTTATTAACTTATGTGAATTCCCTTTATCTCTTCAGTAGTATAAGAATTTCAGCTAATTAAAACTGGCCAAAATTTTATGTATGTAAAATTGTAGTTACATGAGCTTTAATAATGTTTAAATACTTTTGGGAAAATGTCATCCTAAAAGAGTGTTTGGTAAATTGGTTTTATTTAATTTACAATGAATGAATATCAAAAAAACTATTATGCAGGCAGTTGTCTCTTATTTATCTCCATGATAAATTAGACAATATTGCTTACATTATAAAGGAACTTCAAAAGACGTTAACGATTCTTAAGAGTTATATGCACTCCAATAAAAGGGCCAAAATATTATCTTATTATTCATAAGTATAAAATGGAACTAAACGATGCTTTACATGCTTTCTAGAAAGAGCTTTAGAAACATTAAATCTGGTAAACTTAAAGAGCAATCAAAATTGCTGAAGTTTTAATCATATCATGTAAATACATATGCATATGCTGCAAATATTATTAGCCCAATCAAAAAAAAAAAAATCGGTTCATATTAACAGTAGAATGCTTGTTGCTTACTTGATTTTTGACAATGCAAGCAAGGACTAGTTGCCTCAAAATAGGTATGTCTTTGTGGAGGCACCCTTCAAGGGAGAGAGAACTGAATTCTGGCAGTTCAGCCAAGGTTAAATTCCAGGCGAACATGACAGGTCTTGTGACTTTCTTCGGTTGTACCATGAATGTGAGAGTTTCCCTTAGGAAGTCTTTCATGATGGCATCTCTTCCCATAGACAGATAATCTTTGAGTTGCGTGTCTTAATTAACTAATGTAACCTTAACCTTCATCAGGGATTTTTGGAGAGAAAACACATCAGGAGGAAAGCCTATGAAATCTGTTTATTCACTTATATGTAGCTCAAACTACCCATTACCTAACGAGATGTTTAATAGTCGTATCTGCATAGCAGGTGGCTGTTACAAGGTAATTAAATACAATGTTTATTGGCCTGAGGGAAGAAGTTTAAACACCAATTGGCAAAGTATAGTGATGCTTTCATGGAGGACTCGGAAGATTTGGCATACATTCATGCTCTTCCTGGGGAAACCCATGCAAAAGACCATACAGCTAGCATTATTGTCTTCGAAGTCTTTTTAAAAAGATTGATCAAAACATGTTCTGAATAGTCAGAATCGGTATCAGGGGATTTTCTTTTTCTAAAACTCTCACCAACTCGTTAATTTCGTCCTGACTGTGACCTTTGAGACAAGGTGCCATTATAAGAATTAAATAGCGCTTGGAAAATGTTAGCACTCTAAAATTATGAGAAAGTACACTAACGTTTAAGAAAGAGATAGCTTCTATTTGATTTTCTACTATATTGGTGTGAGGTGAAGCCTGCGGTTTTTGCCAAAACATAGCCAAACTTATAAGAAGTGGGGAAACAATGCATAGCCAGCTGCTACTTTGAGCAGCGATGATGGACCACCCAGAGATCTAAAGACAGGCAATTACTCTAGTACAACACTTGTACCACAGCTGGCGTTAAAGAAAGTAATTTTCTCGGTACAACTGCTGTACCGCCGGGTTTAAAAAGTTAATTTACAAGAAGTGGTAAAGTCTGAAAAATTTCCACCCATGCATCTAGTGTATTTTGTGGCTTTTTTTGTGTAATTTTTCGATATTTACATTATGTGAGAACGAAGTGCATGTTCCTTAAGACGAATATAATATTTTTCAGCCATGGATTAAATATATATGAGGGGGAATTCAAAAAGTAACAGCACATTTGCAATTTCTCTTTCCACGGATTGGCAGCACTGCTGGTAAGCAGCACGGAGTGAGTGTGGTTGCCACCACTTCAAGACAACGTGTCATTCGTATTCCTACATTAGGGTTTGGAGTGTAGCAGACTGTTAAACATGGTAGCTCCATTAGCGATCTGCGCCAAGGAAGAAATGAGAGCAGTGATTCGTTTTTTGTATTCGAAAGGTGTGAAGATGATCTGCAAATGGATAGAGCACTTCAAACAGGGAAGAACTTCTGTGTGTGACGAGGCAAGATCGAGCAGGCCATTGACATCAACCACAGAGGACAATATGAATGTCATTTAAGGTATGGTGAAGGAAAATCGGGCATAGTAAACTTAGGATGATTATGTGCAGTTCTGTTACACTTTGTGTTGCCTTCAGATGTATTTCGGGTACTTCCCATTTTATTTCGGAAAGCCTTGACTCCAGTCTGTTATGGCACGAAGGGGTTATTTATCAGAGTTAGAATACAGAGGAATAAATGAGCCAATTATTGACACAAATAAGAGAACTGATGATTCATTTTCTAAGGAGTTAGAAAGTGATACTTCTAGTGATTCTGATGCGGACATTTTATCAGAGGCAGAGCTCAGTAAGTGCCTGCCTTCAACTTTTCGTGCAAGTGAGACTCAAGATACTTAGTCTTGGACTCTTATCCTTGAGGAATTGCATCTCCGTACATTTATTGGAACACCGAGAATAAATTCTATAGTAAATAGAGTTATGCCTATTGGTATATAATTTATTACGTTCCTTAATATTTAAAATTTTTGCATTTCACGTCAGACAAGAGTGCTAAATTGTTGGGGAAAGAGGCTAATTTTAGAAAATCTAAAAAAATTAATTTATGTTATGTATAGAATTTTTTAATTTACTGTGGGAATGACACAGAAATGTTAACACTCTGCGGGACACACATTTATCGAAGCACTGTTATACTGCCGCTGTTTCATGCAGGTTCTACTGCTCGCCAATGGTGATACTTATGCAATTTTTCGAAACATAAGTAGTTGGTATATAATTATTATTAAAGAAGGCACTAAAATAACTGTTACACTATTTTTATTCCATTTTATTCCAATTATATTTTTTAATTAGTACTAAAACATTTTATTTAAAAAATTTAACTCCTAGGATCCATAGTTCTTTTTAGTATGATAATTGAAAACGTTTTCCAACATGCAGAGAAACATTGCAGGAAGAACACATGTATGCAGTGAAACTTCTTTTCTTGGCGGCAGTGCAGACTTTGCAGGCCCTTCGCGGTTTTTGAATTCTCCCATTATCACTAATACGTGTTATTCTATGTTTTCTCATGTCCGTAGTAAGTCTGCCTGGTGGATCAAACCTCGGCAATCTTTTATCACATTGAGCAGCCGATTTTGATTGTTGCTCCTCTTCATTCTCATTAATCCATGCTAGTGTTTAGTAAAAATTGTTTGAATCTAATAGGATTTTCAGAATTTTTTATGTATATCTGGAACGCGTTGAGTAATGCACAGTTTATGAGGTATAAAACTTTTTTTTTTTCTTTCTTTTTGCGGAGTATGGAATAACACGATAGGTATTGATCGGAGTGATCAACACCTTTCATAAATTTATTATACTCTTGTATGCAAATTGGTTTAATGCACTTCTTTTTGGTTCTTTTACTCACACATTCGACCATGTTTGCTGAATGGCTGAATGTGTTGTAAAAATCATCATTATCAATTTTTTTGCCGAATTCCATTTTTGTACCATAATTTTCCTTTTTCTATGAAATTCCATTGACTTATTTTTCAGTGTAGCAGATTTTAAGCAATTTGGCAGTCCTCTGTTTACTCTAATTGTGCCACAGATGTTTGTTTTATGCTTTAGTAACTCCTCTGCAACCTTTACACTATTGTAATAGTTGTCCATATATACATCGTGCCATAAATTTGAATATAGCAATAGCACAAAAAACAATTTTGTCGCAATTAGCGATTTTCCTTGCGCACAATATATTTCTAAATTGCATATATAACCAGATGTTGCCTCACACACCATACAGACTAAAATTCCATATTTTATAATTTTCGTAGGATTATATGTACGAACTGCCCCTCCATGGAATGATACCTTCATCCAGCAATAGTTCTTTCTCTGGTTTATAAATTTTTTGAAACTTTTCTACCAGGTACGAGTAAACGAGTTTTATTTTATCAAGCCTTTCTTGGCAGTGCTCATTAGTACTGAAATGCCAATACTTCCATAACTGCCGAAATTGGTTCCTTGGCATAGTATTCCCGAAAATAGGTATATGCGATCCAGGGTGAGTAGACCAATAATCGTCTTGTTCTGGTTTTCTTACTATTCCCATTAGGATAACAAGCCCCAAACGTTTTTTCATTTCTACAATATTTGTATCAATCCAAGCTTTATTCTTTTTGATGCATTGTTATTATCATTATTCTGCTGATTATGATATAAGTTTGTTTGTGTGACAAACAAATTAAATAAATCATCCCCAATGAACAATTCCATTGTTGATAATATATCTGGTGTGTATGGTACCTGTAACACAAACCGTTCCAGGCAAGCATGAAAGTTAGGTTTAAAATCAACTTCTGACCAATCATTTGCCACAGAATTCTCTTCATCACTTTCAGATTCACTAATTATTGGTCTTCCCTTATTTTTGAATCGTCTCACAATTATATCGTTCCCACTGTTCGGATCACTTTCACTATCAGAGCAATTATTCTCTTCTGATAACAGATCAGCACATATTTCCTCATCGAAGAGCATTTTGAAGGATATCTTTAAATCTAATGTAAGTTTCCGATATTTGAGGGCATCGAAAGACAGTCTCAAACTAACAAAACAAGCGTTCACGGAAAAAGATTTCAATAATAGACAGTCTGGTGAATCGCGAGAGGAAAACAGCTGAAACCAATGTTTCCTGATCGTCAAATGTTTTGCTATAGTATGTCTATCTATACAAACGTCAATGTGAAGCATCGTCGTTGGTGAAAACAAGTCATGCATACGTGTCATGCGTAAATAAGTCATGACAGCGGGCGATAACTGTTGGCAAGCAAAAGTCACGCCAGCAAGACAGCGGCCGATAACCGTTGGCGAGCAAAAGTCATGCCAGCATGACAGCGGCCCGCAAAGTGTTAAGCAGGTGACAGGTTTTACGGAGGAAGAGTATTGAAAACACTGATGAGTGACTTATGTGGGAAAAGGTATAATTTCTATTTGGATCACTTCTTCAGTTCCCCATCATTTGCAGAATATTTGCTTTCTGTAAAAATGAATATTTGTGGAAAAGTATTAAAAATACAAAAAATAATGCCTGAAGACTTTCCAAATAAAAAATTAAAAAGGGTGAACTGAATGTAATAGAGCGAAACAACATAAACATAAAAAAAAAGACTTTTTATGTTAACGAGCATACATGGAATGGCTAGATCTGGAAGAAAAGATAGAATTACTGAAGAAGACATTTTAAAACCTGAATATATTATAGATTACAACAAAAACATTGGTGGTGTAGACATAGGATACACAGTTATGACTCGCTGTTCATGTTTTCAAAAATAAATTAAATGGTGCAAAAAAACTGTTTTTTAGGCTGATGGATATATCAATATTGAATTCCAACATTTCTTTTTGACCAAAAACATGGCATTAAAATGCCATTTCTCCAATTTAAAATGAAACTGATTGAACAAATTATCGAGAAGAAAAGCAGTTTGCTGTCAAATCTGTACTATCATTTATCCGATTATCTGATAGGCATTTTCCTGCCCTCTGTATGAATGAAAAGGTGAATAAAACTAGTTTTTACCAGTTTGTAAACACACTACGCATCTAAGAAATTAAGCAATAATCTAAAATGGTACCAAAAATAGCAACACTAGACCTTAAACTTTTTTTTGCGGTTCCTTCCCTCCTAAAGTTTAGCTTCGTGATGCAGAAATCTGTGTCCTGTGTGATGACTGCCTTTGACTCCCCTCCATCTCATGCGAATGTCTTAAACAGAGGTGCGTCAATGCAAAAGGGTTAAAATGAACAGTAAGTCCAAAATCTGGACGTCCAGAATTCCGAATTATATAATATACAAGATGTAGGACTAGAAATGGAGAATATGGTTCTCAACACAAAGATGCAGATGTGTGGTAAATGCTATTTTTTTACAGACTAACTTGAGATTCCTGCATGCTACTTTCAAACACCTGCAGGCTAGGGAATTAATTGCACTGCAGCCACAATACACTGTTTGATGTTCGCAACAATCACACTTTGAGCTCTTATGTAGTTATGCGAGGGTTAGCATTTTTCTGTTTGACTCAAATAATAAGTGAAGCCTAATAATATACAGTCTACATGTCATCTTATCAGATTTAAGATGATGATCTAAAATTCTGGAGTTGCCAAAGTTCTGACCGCTCCTGATATTGGACTTTTTACTGCAACAACTTTGAAAATATTTCCCATAATATTAATTTAAGTTTTTAAATTTTCCATTTTATAGCAAGTATTTAAACTTTATAAATGAAACGCACCTAAACTTATAAAAAGTTAATGTTATAAAGTGAAGAAATATTAAAAATGAATTAATGTATAGAATTAATCATAACAATTTGTTTGTGTTTGAATTTTTAACTAAGCAAGGTTGTGTAGCTTTACCCTAACTTTTGTACAAATTAATCAATAAGCAAAGTACTTTTTTTTTAACCTTCTGGAATCTTCACATGAATTCATATCTTCAAAGTTTGACTAATACTGCAATATAATTTGGTTTATATATCTTCCTGTATAAGAAAATATCAATTTTTCTTACTCCACATGCTTTTCATTTAAAATATAACGTGTGCTCTTTAAAAATTCTTTACTTATTTTATTTATTTTTAAATCAATGTAGAAAAGTTTAAAAATTCATACATAATTTGATGTTACTTCTAAAAAAATTTTCTGTTGCTTTAAACAACTTTAAGATTACATTTAAAAAAATATATTTGTAAATTTTTCTTTTAAATTTGTTTGAAAATGTATAAATTTCATATATCATGTTTTGACATCTAAAATATTTTTTCACTGAACTGTAATAATTTTTCTAATCAGGTATTAGCCATCTACAAGAGTTATGCAATGAAAAGTATCACCTTCAGATTAATATGCACTATAAGGATTCAAATCAGATGGTAAGGATGATTTTAAAATTTATTTAGTTCAAATGGACATATTCTGTTTTAAAATATTTGTAATCTGATATATATGTGTGTTTGTGTGTCCCACTGAAAGGTTAAGTATTTTCATTAACCCTCTAATGCCCAAAGAAATTTCCAAACAAAAAATTATTTGTTAGTTAAAAGAGTCAAGTAAAACAAACATGGCGAACAATTGTGGAAAAACATTTTTTGTAATGTTTTTTTAATGGTAGCAAATATGCTACCATGGGCAGATTAGGGTACAAATCAAGTAATTTTCAAGCACTTTTTTTTTTATTATTATTTTATTCCGTTTAGTTTATGTGCAGTTATTTACGAATGATAAGCTCTAAAACTGTTTCTGTCCTTGTTAAAACAAAGATTTTTTCACATTTGTCACATTTAACTTGAGTAAATATTCCTCTAGGACATATGTGGCGTCTTTGCCGTATGAAATTATTACACTGGCCAGTGATGCACACTATCAGTTCTTTGATCTTAAACGTAATAAATAATTGAAAAACAAATATTTAAGGCTACAATATTTATATTTACAGCTATGATATATGCATTCTTTACAGATGCTACAGAATAATAAATGGATCCTCTGCCTTCTTTTTTCAATTCCTTCTTGTTCTTTAATTTACATTTCGTTAGCCTGTTTTCTCTCAAAGTCCCAACAAATCCTATATTTTTCTTGGATAATTCACATACTAATGGAATTCCAGAGAAAAAATTATCCGCAAAGATAGTAGTTTTTGTTGGGTTATTTAGAGTGCTGCATCACAACACCTGCTCATATAGACCTAAACAATTTGATCTCAGTAGTAACCTTCAGCTTTTCCAGTGTAAACATCAAAATCGTAACAAATGCCCAATTGTCCACACCGGGCCCACATTTTTAAACCGTGTTTGCTATGAGGTTTTCTTAGGCATATATTGTTTGATATGGATTGTCCTACGAAATGGAATCATTATTTCAATAGACTGCTTGGTCTCACCTGGAATGGATAGCATGTTTTCTTTAAGTCAAACAACCACGGTTGTACTTTCCAGCATTTGTCACTTCTAACATCATCATAAATTTGTAAATTATCCGCAGTATGCAAAAATCTTAAGATTTTTTTCAAATCTATTTCTGGACATTTCTTCTGAAGTTGGTTCATACTTTATTTCCTTTTCTCAGTATCCTCTGAGATATATGGACTAATCCCATTCTAATCATTCCTATTACTTGCTCTATTTCATTTGCCGTCTCCATAAGAGAAGTTCCTGTTTGTTGAACACTATACAGATTTGTTTGTTCAACTAATAATTTTATCATATCTGTCGATACGACATTCTGAAAATATGCAGGAGCAGATGGAATAGGATCTGTAGGATCAGGAAAGTTATCATCATTTGATGAAGGCATAAGATTAGGTTCTTTTTTCCTCCAGAGAATTTTAAACGTTTATAGCTCTTACTTAGATAGACTCTTTCTTCAATATTTGATGCATTTTGGTTATTTTCTACATCTTCATTATGTTCTTGGTCTTCATCATCTGAGCTTCCTTCATGGAAGATATCAGATGTTCGTATAGGCATATATTCATCATCAGAAATCTCGGATAAATCACTTTCTAAAACATTAATATATGCTATGGCATCTTCTAGTTTTTTAAACTAATTTTTTCCTTTTACTCTGTGGAAAAGGGACCTAAAGTGCATGGCTGAAAAAAAAATTCAAAATTTTATTCAAAATTCCGAAAATTTTATTAAATGTTATTAAATTATTTTTTAAAATTTCATTCAATAAATGTAAAGTACAAATATATTAAAAAACATGAAATTTATTAGAGGATTAAATTTATTTTTCAACTTAAATCTCAAAATGAATTTTCCTAGAAACTTTTTTACAAGAAAAATATATCTTAAAATATTTTCTAAATTGAAAAATATCAAAATTTAAATCAATAAAATTTAAATCCATAAATTGGATTTAAGGATATATTATCTGTAAAATTACAAAGATTAAAGATAATGAACTAATTTCAATGTAAAAACATATTTTCTTCAGAGAACTGCTAGGCTTAGATACACGAATGCCCATGGTAGCACATTTGCTACCATGATTTTAAAAATGCATTTTAGCATTAAAAACAATAATTTTGTAAAATTTTTTTATACTGTGTGATACATTAACTCTTTTACTTTATATAAATAGTAATTATTAGCTGTTTTATTAATAAAATGTTTGTAAAATAAACAAACAATTTACGTCTGAAAAGGTGCTTGCATTGTTTGCTGCATCCATGCTTCTTCTATTTTTTTCCTTTAACCTCTTTGTCGTCTGTAGCGCGTCTAGCGTGTTCAGATGAAACTTCTGCAGGGCGGCCGTAACGCACTTAGAGCGTTCTTCTACATTTTAAAACTTTTAAACATTTAAAACGTTTTCTAAATGTTTACTTGTTTGAGTTTTAATTTTTGTTTGTTCTAATACATCCTAGAGGGCAGTAGTAATCAGGCATTCTATTTCTAATTGAATTCCTCCCGAGGGGTTTTATGCATATTTGTGCTATTTTACATAAGATACATGACATGATAAGAGATCTTCAACGTCTACTCAGCAGAAAAAGAGAAAAAATGGGGTTGTGAATTGGGAAGACAAGAAGGATATACGTTTGATGAGCACACTCCATAATAACTCGATGTTTGATGTTGGAACACGAAAAATAACTATAAAAAAAATTGTAAAAGATTACAACAACAAACTGGGAGGAGTGGATCACCTGGATCAAATGTTATCACATTAATCCTGCTGTTAGAAATAAGCAGAGATATTATTACTTTTCCATTATGCTTTATTTCCTTATAATTTTAGTTAATAATCATTTACATTCATCCACTACGAAAGTTATGTATGTACAGAGAAAGCAACATTACACGCTGCGAAAAGCAAAGAGCCGCTGGGGAGAAATTTTCGCGGACAGGAGAGGACGGCGAAAGGGTTAAGCTGGTGCTGCTGTCTTTACCTAAAATTTGCTAATAATGCATGAGAAAGGTTCAATCTATAAATTTTTGACATAAAAATTGCATTTTATGGCGTTCCTGGTATAAAAACATGACATTTAATATATGGTAGCAAATATGGATAGCCCATGGTAGCAAATATGCTACCATATGCATTAGAGGTTTAATTAATAGTTTTTATGCCAGAAGGGGTATTAGTCTTTAAACGGCTTTTTGCATCGGTTCACCTTAACTGCCTATTTCACTTTTCAAACTATCGCTATGTATTATATTTAAAGAAATTAAATGATGAAGAATCTGCATGAATAAATTCTCACATTGTGAAAAAACTACGGTATCTAGAGCCACCAAATTTTGAACATAATCCTCCACCCGAATATGGGCACCTGAAAGCTCGAATTCGGAACATTAAATTTGTTTTATTGTCTTTTCCATATTTTGTAAAAAAATTTTTATTAACAGATTTAACGCTTTCAAAGTAGTGGCAACATTGTACGAAAAAAAACATTCCCCCCCCTCCAGCGTGCAATATTGTGTATCAGGAATTCTAAATATAATGCTGTTTTAAGTATTTTCAGCCCAAATGCCTTCGAAATGTGTATGTGTGTGTAAATGAAAAAAACACCCCTTTGGGCATAGTATAAAATCCAAGCTTTTTATATTAAGTTTTCAGTTTTTAGCTCAAAGAGGCGTTAGACCCCAAAAGCTATTAGTCTCTAAACGGCATTTTGTATAGTTTCTCTTTCTGCGTGTATTCAGTTTTCAGACTGTTGCCAGCTAATGTTATCGCCATGTATTATATTTGAAAAAACTAAAGAATGAAGAATCAATCTATCTCCAGCACATAAAACTTTATATCAAACATTCTAAAGATATGCTGTTTTTTTAATATTTTGTGATATTGGTTGTAAATTGAATTTTATGTGGTTTAGGTGGGAAGAACATGATATTTAATAAAGGTAACACACAAAACGTTAAGGAAAGAACCTTTTGGCCGTAATATAAAATCAATCTGAAATCTGTTAGATTTTCTTTTATTATTTTTTACTTCATTTGCAGCTCATAGCAAAAGGGAAAAATACTACTGCTATTTTTTTTAATTGACATTGCATCTGAGACTCCTTATTGTGAGGCAGTGCCTTTTAGGACGATTTATCTAAATTGTTCATTTTAACACATTTGTTAAATATATAAAAAAATGCCAAGAACTCCATATATCGTGCCTTAAACAGGGTCGTAGCGCTCCTTACAAGTTTGAAAATGTAATTTGAATATTTGAAAATAAAATATAAAAGCCCTTATAGGTGCTTACTTTTTCTCAAAAGCACTTATTTTTTTGTTTTTAGTACCCCCCTTTTTTTTAAAATAAACACACATTTTTCCCTGTACCAAAGCGGAAAATAAATAAACAACTTTTCTTCCTTATATGGAACGTCAGATAATGAATCATACTCCCAGAAATAGCTTTTTGCCCCTTTCTCTGCATTAATATAACCTTTGGTGCGCACAAGTACAGACAGGTGAATGTCGTTCAGGTGACAGGTCAGACAGGTGAATTCTTTGACTATTGGTCAAAGAATTGCAAAAGCAGTAGAAAATTCCTTATTCAGCAGTGAAAGTGATAGAAAATTTCCGGTACATTCCGTTTTCTTTTGCTCCCACCCAATACTACACATGCTTGAATTTCTATCAAGATTTTAATAATTTACATTCTCGTTCTGCGTGGTCAGTTTGTATTCGCATTTATTATGATCGGTATGTTTATATTATGAGCATATGTATGAATATTTATAATAATATATTTGCAGTAACTGCTGAAGCATAGATAAACTTCAAAAATGGGTTACTGTGTTTTAACACAGATTGGTTTTCTATGGAATAATATTCGGAATGGCCTAAATAAAGTGAAAGTAATCGAATAGTCAAAATAATTTTTAGTCCAAAGTCACAAAGTCAAAGGCTTTGTCCCTGAAGGATTATTGTTTTCGTTTTGCGATCTTGCGTTGAATCACTATAAATGTCCATTTCACTTTTCAAACTTTTGCCACCAAATGTTGGAGTCCTGCATTATATTTGAAGAAATTAAATAATGAAAAATCTGCATAAGTGTATGTATATTTCTGGCATTGTGTTAAAATAACAGTACATAGAGCCATCGAATTTTAAATGACGTAATCCTCCTACGATTATGGGCATGTGAAAGACCAAATTTGAAATTTGGAATTTATTTTATTATCGATTTCATATTTTGTAAAACTTTAACGAATTTTTGAGTAACAAACTCAACGATTTAAAAGCGAGCAATGGCAATACTCTACGGGGGAAAGAAAACATTTTTATCTCCAGCGTGCGGAACTGTGCATCGGAAATTCTAAAGATATGCTCATTTTAAAATTATTTTGTGACATTGCTATTGAACTGAATTTTATGGTTTAAGCGCAAAGAACGTGATATTTAATAAATAAAGATAGCACACAAAACATCCCCCCCCAAAAAAGACCACCTTTGGACGTAATTTAAAATCTGAAACCTTTCAGTCCCCCCCCCCAAAGCATTATACAGTACGGAAGTTAGGGGTTCTCCCCTTTCTCCGCAAAATCGAATATTGAAACTGTTACAGTTCGCAGCAAAGCGAGCAACAGACTCCTCTCTCCCCCCCCTTTTTTTTTGTGTCATCACTTTTCAATCTGGATTGAATAGGACTAAAAGTTCTGCTGTCTTCTAACTCAAGTGAAGAATGATTCTATTCTGGAAATTTAACGCAGTCTGTTCAAAATTAGAATGAAAAACACCTCATATTGTTAAATCTCTTTATTAATCAGTATGCGTATGACGGATATCGTGCGGAGTGCGACGTGACCTGCTCAATTTTAAATATGCCACATGGGTGCATCACGGTGAAAACCGGAAGGAGCAAAGGGGTGTTTTCCTCTGTTTAGTTATTTTTTCTCCAAATACCGGCAGGTGTTGATTCTGATTGCGTAATATCACGTGCCGAAGAATTAAGGCGCATGTATTGTGCAATAACGTTTGCGATATTTCGCAGAGTTTCACTGTGCTTGCCAAGAACATCAAAATGTCGAAAGCATTATTTAGCTGAAAAATCTAAAGAACGGCTACAATCTACCCCCTTCCACTTTTACTAATTACGCTCGACTATCCGGAATTTTCAGATATTCGTCAATTTCCGAATATGCTGGTTATTTAAGCTTTTACTGTTAAAGGATGACTGCATGAAGCAACTTCCCGTCTTCTGATTTCAGAAAAGTTCCTTTTTTTACTTATTTTTATTTAAATTATTTTGCTTGCAATATCTGTTAAGGGAAATCTGTTACACAATGAAAATTTAGAAAATGTTCAGAAATTTTATTTTAAGTTAAATTATTTAAATAATATGAGTGAAAAAATAAATTGTATTTATTTTTAGGTGCCAAGCCAATATAATAAATATGGCTTATTATTATTATTTATTTTCTCTATTTTGAACTGAAATTTCATCATTAAATCTTGTAATATAATTTAGTTCTGCATAGTTTTTTCCCCTCTCATTGTAAACTAGTTTTGTAAATTGAACTGTTATTTGAAATTTAAGAAAAAAGAAGGTAATTAATTGTTTTCCATGGTTGAATAATGTTCATTCTGTCTTACTACGTACTGAATTTCTAGTATTTAAAGTTACAAGTCTTAATAGGTGCTTTCATTTTTCTTAAAGTGTGGCTGTAAAGTGCTTATAGGTGCTTATTTTTTTAACTAAAATGTGGCTACGAACCCTGTTAAAGTAATGTTATAAAATTAAGAATAATTCTAAATTTTATGTACCTAAGTTTATAATCAAATAAGAATTTAATTATACAAAATGCACGTCAAAATTTTATGTCAGTAATAAATATAGTTTGGTTATTTCCACCCATCCACCCACACACACTTTTAGAATTATTCAGTTTTATGCAGTGACACTTAAATTTGATATCCAGTATGCATTAATAAATTCTTTTGATACAGTGTAACGCAACAAAGATGTGAATATCTTCAAGTATTGAAAAATGGGATTTAGAGTAACGAGGGGATACAAAAGATCCTTGGGGGGGGGAACTCAGAAGTGTGAAAAGTTATTAAAGTGTAAAAGATGGTCAGTAAATATGCTAAAATTAAATTATGCGGTAATTAATACATTGAAGAAATCTTTTAGCTACTATTCAATTTTTTTTAACCTTGAAAGTGTAAAATAAAACTGTAACAAACTTGTTTCTTTGTGGTGTACAAACTATTATGTGAAATACATAATGTATGTCTTTAGATTTGCTATAAAATAAAATATACTGGAAATTTTATGAATTAAATTAATTGAAAAGTTATTTGTATATATATATTGTTTTTAAATTTATTAGTTTGATAAACAATGATAACAATATAGTGCTATAACTTAAGAGCTCTTGTAGAGAGCAGTTTGCCTAATTAGTAAATAGACTGTAAGTACTGCAAATGTCAAGAAAATGTTTCAAATAAAATTCATGTGTGTTTTAAGTATTAAATCATTTATAAGTACATTTTTCTCTTTATAGCCCACTGCAGAATCTGTGTAATAATTAATGGTAAGGTCTTGAATTTCTTATTTTTCTCTTAATATATATATTAAAAAAAATTGTCTGTATTAAGTGCTAAAAGATTTCATAACTGGATAAACAACTAGTCTAACGACTTGGTCAAATTAGCTTAAAATAGATATATTTTGTGTGCATCAATTAACTAAATATTTAAAATGTGTCACTTTATGGTAGAAGTTTTAGTAAACAGCAAGATTATTATTATTTTATTTTTTCAATCAAAAACTGAGTGAAAAGGAAACTTTTCTTTTGTCAGCAAACATATGTGTGGATTTTTTATGATAAATAAACCCATTTTTTACAATAAATTTATATTGTAGTAGCAAATTCACTGTTATTTAAATAATTTGATGTGTTATTCAGAAATTAACATTGTCATATACATTTACCTCTTCTCAGACTTTAAAATTGTTCAGTAAATTCAGGAAACAAGAGCTCTTTCTTCAACATTGTATCTCCATATCCGAGAATTTTGGTCTCCTGCAAAGTTCAGAAAAATGCAAATGATAACATTATTTCTCAGCTGATGATATCCTTCTTTTAATATGTAATTTTAACAATAGTTTTAATATTTAATTGACATTCTTTTTTTTTTTATTTTCAGATATGGACAAATAATTTGATTTTAAAAATTCTTTATTTCAAACTTCAGTCTTCTCAGGATTGACTTTTTATGCATTCATCTTCCTGTAGAAAATCCAGTTGAAACATGCTACTCCAAATAATCTATAAATTAACTATTTCATGTAAGAAAGCTATTTTTTACATTTTAATATATCCATTGTAAATAATAGCAATTAAAACAATCATTGAATAAAGTATTTATTTTTGAATAAGATAGTTTTTAACTTGATAATTCGTCACCAATACAGTTGTACATTCTGTTTAATAGTATGATAAAGTAAACATTAATTCTAATTTATGAGCTTTGTAGTTCTTAAAAATTTGGATTTTGGTTTAATTATAAACACCACACTGGTAAAAATGAAGAATTAAAGAAAGGGATTAAATAAATTTATCTGCTGTGTAAAAAAACTCGTATGCTTCGAGTAATTTTGATATGCTTTCTCTAAACTATCATTGGTTCTTTAAGGCAGTGATCAGTTTCAGCGTATGTGCCAATCTAAGAAGAAGTTAAAACTGTGGACTATACAATATGTTTCATTTAATGTAAAAATTCTCACTTTTTTTTTAATAGAGAAAGATAGAACAACACGAAGCAGCAGATCTAAACTTGTATAAATTCAAAATCACATTTTGAATATTTTTTCAGTGAAATGTTTTCCTTAACACATTAAGCCCACCAGCGGCCAAGCGGTAAAGTCGCTGAACACTGGTATTTCGGTCTGAGGTTCAAATCCAGCGAACAGGCTGGCTGCATAGATGTTTTCGTGGTCTTCCCCATGTGTAACGTGTATACGAGCCAGTTTCCCTTGGAAAGTCCTCCACGAAGGCATCCTTCCCCTTAGGCAGATAGCCCTTGAGGCTTTGCCGTAATTAAAATAATCTAACCTAACCTCAACACATTAAAGGCGGGGTATATTGATGAAAGTATGCTAGGTAACATGGCGACCACCCTGCCTTGTTTTTAGTCCTCAATATTTTGCGTAATCATAAAAGAATTTAAACTTTAAAAAGTTTATTTAAACTCTTAAATCTACAAGAAGTATTAAAACACTGTGAAGAGGTGCAATGCAAATCTTGCATTTGAAGCAAGTCAACTTTCTTTTTTTATCTGCCGCACAAACTATGCAGTTTCGTTGGGCATATAGCTTTTTGCCTTTGTTTTCTGTCCGAATTAATTTGTGCTTTTTGATGTCTAGCGAGAGACGTCCAGCCGGATCAATTTTATATCGTGAAGTCCGTGATGCTGAGGTCGATGTACCAGGTTATGGCTTGTCAATGTCCATCAAATCGTCTGCATATGTATCTTTATTTTCATGTGAAACCATATTGAAGGATTTCAAAATTTACTGTAAGCAGAATTTGAACAACTGAACAGCTTCAAACCACAAAACATACTAAATACAAATGTAAAGTGGTGCATGGATTGTGCAATTGGTTGCAAACCGTACTAATACGACTCTTGCCTTTAAACTACAGTCGAGATAAATCGTAGTACTGCGACTCCCGCCTTTAAGCTACAGTCGAGATAAATTGTAGTACTGCAACTCCTGCCTTTAAGCTACAGTCGAGATAAATCATAGTACTGCAACTCCCGCCTTTAAGCTACAATCGAGATAAATCTTAGTACTACGACTCCCGCCTTTAACTATGTGTTAACTATGGCTACAGGCAGTATACTTTTCTCTTATACATCACAGAAAAAAGGCGTGAAAATTTACATGCATCAAAAAGTCTATGATCAGAATATATTTTGTGAGTTGTCACAAGCAATATAAAATAGTCTCATGACTGAATGTTATTTGTAGGTCTTAAAAATTTGATCATTAGTGCTGTATAATCATAACTAGCAAAAGTTCATCCAAAATGGTTAAAACCAACATGGCATAAATTAGTTTTTGCCATAAAAGTGGCAGTAACTAACACAAATTCATAAATAACTAAAACTTTTTAAAAGCAAGTAGTGCTGTAAATGTGGCAGTAACTAATTGAAAGCAGATACTGTCATAAAAGTGGCAATAACTTATAAAAATTTGTAAAATAACTAAAATTTACTGAAAGCAAGTAGTTAGATGGAAATATATTTTAAACAGGCTTCGCTATAATGTTTACAAATTTATTCAAAGATTTACATAGCAGAATCACCTTTTAAATTTACCTGACCTTTTACATTAATAAGAAAAGCTTCCCAACGAAAATTGTCGTATATTTTCAGGGGTGATAAAGTATGCGAGTAAAACAAGTGCAAAGTATGCATTTTTCCATCTGCAAAGCAGGGCATATAAAGTGATATGTTCATCTATAATATATATACAGCCACAGAATGGCAAACAAAATGTATCTGCGAGTTTCAACATTGTCATATGATTGAAGCACATTCCTGGTTGGTGGGATGATTGTTTGTATGGCAGCAGTTTTTGCTTTAGTAGTGTGTTCGATCACTATTGAATAGTATTTGGGAGTAATATGTATTTCTGAACATTTAGATCAGAGGACTTGTAATCATTAAGTGGTGCAAAGACTGATGATGTAGACCTTGCAGATGATGATGCGAATGTATATTGGTAATAAGTGCTTTGTATAGGATTTGTCTACACTTTTGGAGCAAAAATCCTCGGCAGCTACTCAAAAATACAACACTGAATAATGTGTGGTGTGATAAGGTTACATAAAAGAAGAAGAGACTGAAGATTAATATGGAGAAGGATGTCTCGTGAGAATAAGCTGAAAATTATTATTTTTTTAACTTACAAATACTTTTTCAATAGTTATTAAAATAGTCTTTATTAAAATAAGTAAATCGTTGACAATGTTAAAAATGCAAGCTCGAGAGCCACGAATTGCTCTCGCACGTAAAATGTATAGAATTTGATTTTTGAAAATAGTAAGTTTCTCTCTTGTCAAATTGTATGTAGCCTTTTTTTTTTTTTTTTTTTTTTTTGCCTTCAATAAAATTTTTATGCTGTGTTTTGTTTTGAACCTGATGTCACAACCCAGGGTTTACATAGCGGTTTCGGCCACGACACTACAGCAGTAAATATTAACAGTTGGTGGCAGCTTTTTGGGATTGTTCCTGAGAGTAAATTTAGGAACGGACCTTTTGCCTGTGGATGTCGCTAACATCGTGTTTTTTTTCTGTACATCTCTTTGTGTGAGTATTCCGGATTTCGAATGGAACTTTCAGAAAAGGCAGTATTGTAAAGGACTTTATGTGAGCAGTCAAGATTTTCTTCTCTGCACAAGAACGATCTAATTTTGCGTGCAAGGACAGTTCACGTGGTGAATGCAGCCTCTTCAGTGACAAGTGACAGTGTGTCAGAAGGAGAACGCCGGAGGAAGCGTCATCTAGTGCCGCAAAATAGTGATAATTTCCTCGGAAGAGTTGGAATATCCAATGTTAGTGCCAGGAGAGTCAATCGAAGGCAGTCTTCAAAAGTTGGTGAGTACCATTTTTGTGATTCTTGGAGAAACGTTATACCAGTTATTCGAGACTAGGTTTATTTTGGATATAGTTCTGTTTTTGGGGATCAAAAGTTTTCTGGTGGTTATTGAAAGTTAAGCTTGTGGCTACTGTTGCTAATTGAAATTAAATTGTTTGTTCTATTGTTTTAGTAACTTTAAATTGTATGAAGTATTGTAATGGTATGCTTTAGAAAAATTTAGTTTTAAATCAGTCCAGAGTTAAAGGACAATACTTATATAGTTGATATAGAGCAGGAAAAGGTTGCCTCTTAATTAGCATTTTTTATATACGCTTTGTTTGTAGGCATAGGTATTATCATTAAGTGTTGTAAGGCAATTTGTGTTCAAAATTGTCAGGGAATTATTCAGTTTTGGAGAGATAGACCTGTTGTTGTTTTTGTGTTACTGTATTTTGGGATAGGTTATTTTTCTTTAATTTTCCATAATGGGTGAGTTTATGAGGAAATTTACTAAAGCTCTGCTATTGGAGTTAGCGGAGGAGTTTGAAACAAATGTGTCTCAGGCAAATAGAGTAAGAGAAATTAGGCAGGCTATTCTAAATGCCGAGGGCTATGAAGAAGAAGCTACGAAAGAATACGTGGTAAGAATTTGGGCTGCGGCTGAGCAGAGAAAAGCAGAAGAAATAGCCGAACAAGAGAGAGCAGAGCGGGAATGTGAACAAGAGAGAGCGGAACGGGAGCGAGTTTTTGAATTGGAAAGGTTAAAACTGATGAATGTGGTTCAGACTAATAGCCTAGCTTCTACGGTTTCGAAAGATGAACAATCTAGAGAAAAAAAGGTTAATTTGAAAGATCTAGTATCGCGTTTTGAACCGAGTAATATAGATATTTCATTATTCTTTATGCTATTTAAAAAACAAGTTCAAAAAGAAAACGTTAATGAGATTGATTGGGTCTCGCAATTAATTCCTTTATTACCTCACGATGTAACCCAGTTAATAGTGAAAGAACAAGCGGATAAAGGGGATGATTATCAGCATGTTAAGAAATTACTCATGCAGAGATTCAAGCTTAGTTCTTGGGCACTAAAAACAAAATTTGAAGAACATTCTAGAAAAATTGGAATGTTATGGGTGGATTTAGTGTATGAATTGAGAGTGTATTTAGAGAATTGGTTGGATTCAGTAGAAGTTCAAGATTTTGAAAGTCTTAAGGAACTTAATTTGCTCACTGAGCAAATTAAGCGGCGAGTCCCTCTAGAATGTTCATTATAAGAAATAAGAGGAGCACTACTTAGACAATTGGGAAGAATTTAAAACAGCTTCCTATTTTAGCAGAGAAATGCGACAAGTATGAGGCTTTACGAAGAGATACGAGGAAGTTAGAACAGAGAGTGGGAGTTAAAGAAACCATATGAGAAAGATAGAGAGTGGTATGTAAATTCTAACTGTAGTTATAATCAGAAAAGTAGTGGTCATCAAAGAATTAAATCAGAGGAGCATAGAAAAGTGGAGGCTCCTAAAAAAAGGCAAGTTTTCAATGAAGCAGGTTTCGAGAAACAGTGGAAAATAAGGTGTTACCAATGTGGAAAGGACGGACATATCCGACCTAACTGTCCATCGCTGGAAAAGAATAAGGCTAATCTGGTGAATAATCTAGGAACGGAGAGTTTAGGAAAATGTTTTAAGCCATATTTCAAGAAAGCAGTAATTAATGGGATAGAGAGAGAATATCTGAGAAATACTGGAGCTGGTATGGATCTGTGTTAGTACTTGGATTAATACTAGTGA